GGGGGAAAAGCAGGTCCTCTTACCTCCAGAACCCCAAGCGGTACCCTACGTTCACTATAACTCATCTTTCCCACAGCAAGCCAGCGAGAGCTGGTCATGAACTCACAGAGCTCCTAGGCTAATCTGCTCCACTTACCCACCTTAAGCTTTCACAGGCCAGTGAGTGCGGGCCAGCCCAAGACCAACCGACACAAGTCCGGATTTTCACCTTCATAGCTCAATTTCACCACCAATACATCGTTGTAACCACGATTCCAAATTGAAGAATCTACCACAACCGATACAGTGCGATGCACCGCTGGACTTTCTTGCCTGTTCTTGGCCTCTTTTTCTCAGCCCACAGATGTGCGGGTTAATTATCTGATCTACAGTTATCCTGGCAGATAAAGTGAAGAACCGTTCGCGCACTGATGAACCCAACCATGGACGTATGTATGGACAGGATGGCCTGGCATGAATCTTTACTTTTCGCAAGTTGGTCCTCCACACATTGGCTTCTCCTGATTCTGTCAAGACTTGACCATGGGCAGGTACCACGAGGGCCCGACTGCCGGATGCTGCAACTAGGAATGAGAAAAGGCAGCTAGAGACCCCATTCAGCCCGAAGGAGGCGTACTAAGAGTTTGCAGTATCAGATTTACGACGCTGAGGAATCCTTCGCCGAGGATGAACCCAGATGCAAGGACGATGAGAGACGTTTTGGATCGACCCTGTCCACTGCCGAACCGACCAGAGGACCAGTACCAGTTGAGTAGACCACCCAGAGCTCGCGCGAGCGTGAAAGACGGAACGTTATACATGCCTATGTCGATGTCAGTTATTGTCGGCCAACGTGGTCAGCCCTGTGGTCCATGGTTTTAGCCAAACATACCGACGGCAACAGCAATCCCGCCGGGGATGAATGGCCTCCAGCCCTTGTCAGGCGAAACAGCAGCCCTGATTGTAGTTGTAATTGCAAAGACAATACTGAAGCCAGTTGCCCACTCTCGCGCCATGTTTGGCAGGCCTTCGCCTGTCACCAATCTTGCTGTAAATATCCACACGTAAGCTGTCGGCACCTGCAGCAGGCTACCGGGAATTGGGTAGACGCTACACAGCGGATTAGTTCTTCTTGCATTTACCATCGAAAAATTGTAGGAAGTCCGGGATACTGACGCGGTATAAAGCCGATACACAAAAGCGCTCACTACGGCACCAGCCGTGGCCCCAATGATCTGACCGTAGAACTGCGCTTGTGGTTCCGCACCTAGCAAGTGTCCCGTCTTCAAGTCCTGCATCAGCTCCCCAGCTTGTAAAGCTCCCTTGACCCCTGTCAGTATAGGATCGGATTGGGCCCTTTCCAGACCAGCTGGTGAGTCTAGGAAATTCTTACCGCCTCGGAAACGGCACCGGCGACAAGGTTGATCAGAACACTGGTCTTGTGAGATTGTGGGATGATTATGGCGAAGAACAACTGTGCCAGCTTGCTGATTCCCGAAACCGGATTCAGATCGGTCTCACCAAGCGCTCTTACACCCATGATGCTGAGGACGAGTGCTAGTAGTACTGCAGCAACGTTGGCATAGAGTGGAACCAGATTGCCAAAGACAATGCGTACGGCAACTACGCACAGTACAATTGACGCGAAAAGACCGACTGTAACCGTCTTGCCGCCAACTTGTTGATCTGGCGGTGCGTCCTCCACATCCTCACCAACTGGAATGAGACGGTCCCGGGAACCGTCTCCAGATCCAGGAGACTCAGATGGTGTGTTTTGACCGGGGAGGGGATCGTTATCGTCGTAGTCTTCCGACTGGAGGGCGGAATATCTCCTTGAATACTGACGCGGACTACCTTTCGCCCACGACCAGACCCTACGCAAGCTGCTGCGTAGCGTGACGGAGGGCTTATTGGTGTCAAGGCGGGAGAACAGCGACCGAACGATCAGGTGTGCTAGGTTGACCACAGCATCTGCGAGCATAATGGCCAAAGAAGTCCATAGAATCCAGCCTTTACTGCCAGTTTCCCAGTCGCCGACCGCGCCCGGGGCCCAGCCCCGTGACTTAGCCAATGGCGACAAAACGCCCCAGCCGACAAGAGCACCTAGCAACATATGCAGTGTTGTTTCTGGGCCCATGATGATTCCTTGTCCAATATAGGCAGGGCTGGGATTAAGCGTCCATAGCCACGACTGAGCTATAGCGGTGCCAAAAATCGGGATGTTGCGGATGGAGGGAAAAAAGAATGTACAGAGTGTGTAGACCCCTGATACGACGAAGCATATCGCGAGCAGGCGCACGTTCTCCACCCAGGTCGTGGATGAAGCATCCTCTGAAGCATCATCAGTCTCGTCGTCAGCAGGTGGCACAAGGCTCGCAAAGCCACCAGCTGCCGGCGAGTCCACTTCGGACGATGTCGCCGGCTTGTCTTTGCCGTGGAGCACTCCGATGAGGACCGCCGTGCTGAAGCCACTTGGAAAACGTAGCCTTTCGCGAATGATGACTTGTCGTCGTCTAGTAAAATTCATGTCAGAGGAGGCGACTGCAAAAGCTTGGGCAAGATACGTGTCTTGTTTAACGGCTTACAGGGGCACAGCAAATACAACACCAAAGTAGCAGAGACCAAGAGACCACACAATGAGCTTCCATGCCTCGAGTGTGATGGGCCCCTGCTCTTCGGGCGTGAGGAGATAATTCATCGCCGGCAGCTTTCACGAGGTCAGCTGTCTCCGAACTGGTGTGGATATGGTTGGGAGCTGCCTGGGTCTAGGTTGCTTCACACAACAAGACAGGCAGACAAAACGTACCACTCCTACGAAACCGCAGCCCAGTGGCATGATAGCCATACTGCCAGCTACTGTTTGAACGAGAACATTCTCGACCGGACTGAATGGGAAACTTAGGTGGCGCGCAAATGACCGAAATAAACCAAAGCCCATCAAACTAGCCGGCATGGTCATGGTACTGACCCATCCCGTCTGCAGGCCAAAATACATGTTGGAGAAACAAATGACAAGGCCAACCGCAAGTCCTACGGCCACGCCTCGAAACGTGAAGCTGTGCCCATGGATTTGCGGCGGCACCTTTGCTCTGCGGCCTTCTGGGCTGCGAGGGCCAGGACTCGGCTCAGATACTGGAGGAAGCAAGCGTCGACGAGCGTCGTCGCTGTCGCTGCGAGCGGTGCCGTCCCGACGTGACATCATGTCTCGAGATGAATGAACACGCTGTTCAAAGAGCGTCGAATATGTTATACAAAAACCATGCTAACATGGATCGCAGGCAAGTTGAAAGAACGACGGTAGCTAGTGACGCAGATGTGTTAGAGTATGAGGTATGAGTAAGGTAAATGATGATAAATCACATTAGGTATTGGAGCAGGACAGGGCGCGTCACGACAAGTGCCGCCTGGGTCTCGTTGCACCCCACTTCTCAGTGCTAAGGGTACTGTACCTAACAAGCCTAGGTAGGTACCTACCTGACGTAGGTACCTTGGTAGGTGTACCTTTAGGGGGAGGTGGCCTAACCCGAAGCCGGTGACCTGTGGCACGACGGCATCATTTTCAAGGACGTAGGTGCTGACACCAGCCGAACAGGGGCTGTCATTCCCAACATAGGTACCAACCTAGGCAAGCTAGGTAGGCACTTGGAGTTTCCAGAACAAGGAGACTCAGCATCACAGGACATTCATCAAAATTTATCAAACTTCATCGTTCTCATGCTGTTTCTCCAATTACTCTCCCTGAGCATTCTGGCCATTGAAGGTTCTCACCCCAGACATCGTGAACCCACCACTGACGCTTAGAACCCGAAGCTGTCCAGCAGCGAGCTCGAGTCTGGCTCTTCAAACATTGTAGGTGGAGGTTGATGTCTCCCCGACTGTCCTTTTCCAGATTCCGCCATTCGTACCTCGTTGCGCAGGCTTGAAAAAGGCATGTCATCCACCACGAGAGAACTTCGCCTCCTCAGAAGCTTCAGCGGGTTGGCCTCGCCTCCGAGCAAGGCTCCTACCGTTGCTGTCGGCTGAGGGAACTCCCAGTTACGGACTGTTCGACACAAGTCAGAGCCAAACCTTTTTCTCGCTCGGGAAAAACTTACCAAGATCCAGACCAAGAAGATCACAGCCCATCCGATCGAACAGCTTGGCACTGTGAAGAACAAACTCCCATTCGATCCGAGGCGTTACTTTGGATGCTCCTCGAAGGGTCTGCAAGGTTTTCTGTCGAAGCTGCGAGTAGAGAACTACCAAGGCAGGGTCATCGGTCAGGAACAACTTAGACCTCAAGTCGGGTACGACCGGGGTCTCTAGAAGAGTGTACACGGGCGTCTGCCGCAACATGTCAGTCATGATTCGAAGTTTCCCTCAAGAACCGTGACTTACAATCAGCGACCTGACGGCCATATCTTTGCGACCGAGCATCCAAAACGCCCACGAGGCAAGCCAGCGATTCCCCTCGCGAGCTGCGACATTGAGGACTTCGTCCTCGAGGAGCTTCCGAAGGACTGGACCGCTATCGCCCTCATACACTCGGGCGATGGCAATAGCAAGTTGCAAGTCCTTGAGCTGGTGCAGACAAACATTGACAGCGTCTGTTAGATGGTCCGCCAAGAGAAAGAATGCCGCTGCATACTCTGTACTTCTTGTCAGTTTTCAGTGGTCAAACCGGTGCTCCATGTAGACGCACCAAATCTGCGCTTGCTCAACAGTGCGTATGCATTCTTCAGTGCCGTTGTTCGCCATTTCGGGTCTTCGAAGTTATTGGCCAGCAGGCGCTGCGTGGCGCCTTGCTCCTTGTTCCAGCTTGCCATGCGCCAAAGCCCTTGAAGCACAGTTTTCTTCTTCAGAGCTAAGTAGTAGAGACTGCAGTCAATCGGGTTTTTCATCTCGCTTTTGGTATACTCATTTCGAGCGATGATCTCGAACTGGGCCTTCTAAATATACGCATTATTGTCAGCTGCAAAAGTCAGGCGAAGAAACCACAGTGACCTACCATAGCATTAGTGTCAGTAAGCCACATGAACATACCACTTTCCCTGGCACTTTCCCAGAGAAGTGACCCATGATACTGTCGAATCACAAAATCCACCAGAATGTCCTGGCTGCCAGAATGAAATGCCCACACGATCTCCCGCCAAGAAATATTGATCTCGCTCATACGCCCTTTGCGCAAGGCGTGTTGGCGAAGGAAGAGCATGAACCTAGCGCCATCCTCGTCTAATGAGCGACGGTGTTTGTCGACCAAGCCTACACACTCAATGATGTCGGCTAGTTGCATCTGCTCTTGTCCTGACAACTGTGGGAGACCGACCTTGGTCAGTCGCTCATTAATAGCCGCAGCAACATCCTCCGTGAAGGTCTCTTGCATTGGATCATCCGAGGCACCGCGATTTAAATACGAATCGGATTGCTGCTTGACCACTTGTTTCGACGAAACCTAGTTACATGCATGTTAGAATTCAGTCATATCGAAGCTGGTCCCTGTACGCACCGTATCCATGTAAAACATATCGAGTTCCATGCCAAGATAGTCGTCAATTTGTTCGCCTGGAATGTGATACTTGAATGTTTGGTGTAGCGCGAGAAGGATCCGGTGTACCAAGGTAGTCTTTCCCGCCAATATACACTGGCTCAGAAACTGGGGATGAAATATCGGCAATGGCCCGTTGAGTCTTTGTACAGCCTCAAAAAGGTCCCAGACACCATCTTTTTTCTGTGGCAGCCTCAAGGTACTGACCTTGGAATCGGCGAGACCAAAGTTTCTCCCATAAATCAGCATCTGATTACCCGCACCGACAACGAGATGGCCGTCTCCAAGCCAAGCAGAGTCACCGATTGGATGAGGAGTTAGCTCGCGTATGCTAATTTCTCTGATCGGAGCCCAGGCAGGGCCTTTATTGAGGTAGTCAAAACGCATTTGCGATAACAAGACAACCCGATGTTGGAAGCCAACAGCCAGAATGGACTGGGAATCTGGGGTTGAAGTCCAGTCGAGGTCTCTGATCGTGTGGTGGGCCTCGTAGTCTTGGGAAAACTCAAGGCGGGCACCACCAATATCCCAGATGGATAACTGCGATCGCGAAGAATCAACGAGGGCTGCTTTTTTGAGCGTGCTGCCGCTCACGAGCGCTGGGTTCGCAAGACCAGTCTCCGAACAACAGGTTGACAGCCACTCTACGCGCTTATCAGTGTTGTCAATGCGGGCTGTCCAAAAATCAACACGGCCTGACTGAGTGTAGGAAATGGCAACGTCCTTGGCAAATACATCCAAGAAACCAGTCGTAATCGGGGAAGACCCTGCGGGATCAACAGGCAACACATAAGCAAGCCCCTCAATATTTTGCAGCTCAAATCTGCAGAACTCCATGAGGGTCGCTTCACGCGAGCCCCCTTGAGACGCTGCATCTGGCGCCATATATGGTGGCAAGTCGAGTTGCCACACAATGCCCTTCTGCTCTGAGGTGATTGTGGCGATATGGACAGTTCTATAGTCGTCTCGATGCTGTCTTGGTAATATCAGGAGGCACAGAGGCTTTCCAGAGAGCTCATAGGGCTGGTGGCACATTGCAATCGCCTTTTGACGGCGACAGTCCCATACGGAAATTGTTCCATGCTTCAGGAACACAACAAATCGACCTTTCCGAAGGACACATATGCGGTGTATGTGACCCGCCTCCGGTACGACGCTTTGCCGGGATAGTCCAGAGGTCGCTCTGCCCCCAGAATGTGTCCAGACAACGCTCTCTCCATCAGCCGTCCTTGATACGACTGATCGCCCGCTGTAATTGCGAACTATTTTCTCAATCGGTGACGAATGGCCGGACCAAGTACATCGATGATCAAATTGATGGCAAGCAAGATTAGGGTCGATTAAATCCACCAGGTCAGTCTCGAAAATGCGGATCCTGCCATTGAACTCATGGACTAAGATTCGGAGACGACCCGTGTCGCGAGCGCAGTATGCCTGGACTTCAACATGAAGATCGTGCGCTATAGAAGGAAAGTCCTCCCGCGGGGTAAAGTCCTGTGAGTTGATGTGCGCGACGCTGGTTACTTTGAGCTTCTGTGATCTGGAGCCGACATTCTCTAAAGCCAAGGCTGAAATGGTGTCCCCATCGCCGAGAACAAAGCAAAATTCTGGGTTCCTATTCGCCACCCCGATCAGACGCTGCACGGCCGCCTCTGGCAGTTGCTCACCCGACGGGCGCCCCTGAACCGCTTTTTCGGCGGCAGCAGCAACTTCTCTCCCATCAAGGATAAACAACGCCGGGGCCGAAGAGAGCTTGGACGCTGACCTTAAGGCTTGACCCTCTACAGACCAGGCAAGGTCCACCTGTGCCCACAAGTGGAGTTGCTGGTTCGAGTGAGAGTCGGACCCTGTCCAGATTCGAAGAACGAAGTCAGTACATGTGGTGTACAGAATGTTGTCGATTGTTTGTTCTGTATGATACGGTTTGCGCCAACGGATATTCGTCACCAAGTCGGGATGAGGTAGACACGCAAGGTCGAAACAGACCTCATCAGCACCATAGGTAAGCCTTCGCCAAACCTTAACGATTGTATCGTAGAATCCAATGACGGCGATATAGGCAGAGTCGAAGGAAAGCTGTGCAGACTTCGCGTCATTTGGCAGTGCCTTCTCCCAGAAACACGACGGGGCTGCCGAGGTTGTAAGGTATAAACGAAGGGTAGATGCGGCGACAAGAAGCTCTTCTGAAGCTCCCCATGATAGACAAGGATCTGTTTCGCTTGTTTGGATTAGGAACGACGACTGCAGTCCCCACTTGATCCAGACTATCTGTCAGCTTTAGAGAAACAAGCAGTGAAAGTGGTCGGCACAAACCTTGAGTGCGTCCTCTGCGTGTCCCAAAGGCTTGTAGACTCGAACGGCTGACTTCGTGCATGTTGCTATTTTCCCCGAAAATTCGTCAAATGCTACAGCAAGAAGAGCTGCTTCGTCTTCGTCATAGACTGTTTGGACAAGTTGTTCAGGCCCGTCGAGGATGGCGAAGGCGTTGCCCGTGATGTATACCTGTCGCAATGACGTTAGAGCGAAAGCGCCTAGCCATGCATACTCAGTCATGATACTCACAGTATATTGCCTTGATCCCCAGAAGCCTGTCGCCAAAGCTTGGAGCCCGGACCTGGGTCTCCCTGGTAGGATACCTCTCATCCTATACGTTGCTGCATCGAAGTCGCATGGCTATCGAACTGGAACTCTGTGGAATGATCGAGTGTGGGTGCCAGGTAAGAGATCAAATCAGAACGCGATGCTAAAAGAGAGCTGTTGTTGTTGTTGTTGTTGTCAAGGTCCTGCAAAGCCTCCAGTGACAAGGCTTCTGAATCAGATCAATTCAACCGCGTGAACTCTTGTCGTGCTTTAGCTTATGTGGGTGCTCGGTGCATGTCTACAGGCTGGCTACTTCGGTACATCCCTAGGTAGGTTCCTACCTAGGTGTCTACATGCGTAAAGGTACCGAGAGGGATGACGCCACCTTGCAGCTTCGGGGTGCACGCTTATATGCATAAAATATGTCAAAGACAATGTATGGGCCCAGCTACTCCCACGACAAGAGAACCACCATAGCTACTTTCGTTGTGATGGCCCGCTTGGACTAAGAACAATGCTGCTTTTCAAAATCATATATCACTACTTCTCTAACGGGGTATCGTCAAACCAAATCATTATCCTGGTCGCCTGCGTCTTCTCTGTTCCGCAATGCGTCGTGCCTCAATCGCGGACAGTCGCGGTGTGCCTCTGATTGACAAGTGCGCCGACTGATTCAACTGTGACATTCGCGCATTGGCGACGTAACGTCCGCGAAGCTCACGCTCAAAAGGTGTCGAAAGTGGTGCTAGAGGTGTTGTTGTAGGCAGCCGTGCGAGTGATCCTTCAAACTCGATCCGTCGTGTTGGAGTACTGATCACGTCTCCCATTTCATCCAACTCTGAAGTTGGCTGCTCCGAAAAGTCCTCTTCCACATCTCCAGGCCAAACTCGACTACCCAAGAATGATGATGCAGCTGTTTGACCAGATCGGGCCTTTGACCACAGTACTGAGTCCTGAACACGGCTGCCACGCGATAGACCATAGGAAGACGCCGCAAGGGACATGGGCTCGGGCGCATGAAGCGTCTCACCTTGTGATTTCCAACGCGTCAGGATCCGACGGACAGACTTCCTGGTGTTCTTCTCAGTAACGTCCGTAACAATATACAGCTGCGAGTGTAGTTGGACCGAGACAGATCGCCATTTGTTCCATACTTTGGACTTCAGCCCCAGAGCCCACGTGTTGGAGGCCTCATGCTCGACCAGACGTTGACCCTCCAAGGAGACAGTCCACTCATTCAACCAGATGTCATGCATATAAGCTGGTGATTCCATTGCTTGTTGCAAATGACACTGGTGTTGCCAAGATGCAAGAGTCTTACGGATGCAACTGCAGTTCGCATGGCGCTCCTCCGATTTCGTGGCACATACCACGACATCAATATACCGCACGCTGGCCCTCCACTGCGAGAGTTTGTTCCTTGCTATCAGTGCCTTGTGACGCCACCTGCAACGAACATAGGCTCTTTGCACAGACGATGACCATCGTGGCACGGCTTGTTTCCACGTCTGGAGCATTTTGGTATATCCAAGATACACCCGTGCTCGATGCGCCCACTGACCAAGCTCGGTGTCCCTGTCTCCGATTGTGAACCAGCGCATCAAAGTTCGGTGGGCGCATTGTTGAGTGGCGTGGATTGAGGCGTGATAGAGGGCAGCACCATCGGTGACTGCGGCACGTCGCCAGGTCTTGAGTACATCACTCATGAAGACACGCTGATGAAAGCGACTAGCAGCGTCCTCCGGGGCCAGCAAAAAGCCCCGACTGGCGCTCGGTGATTGAGATTGGGCCAGACCATGTCTAGTTGCCATGCCTTCGTCCTGTCTGAGATCACGCCAGCGGCGGAGCAGCGCGTTGATGCTTCGAAATTGCAATTCGTCCTGGAGCTGGCGACCACGTACTACGAGAGTCCAGAGTCGTAGAGCCTCGAATATATACAAACAGCGTTGAAAGCGAACTGCTGTTTCTCGATGGGCCCCTTCCCAGTCATACAAGGTCTGGAGCCTTGTGAAGGTGTTGAGGTGTTGAGCTCGATTCGCTAGGTCCAGCAGACCTCTTCTTTGATGACAGTGGCCTTGCCACTGCTGCAGCATACGGCTTGTCATCCTTGAAAGTATTGATTGCGGCCTGGGAAGATGCGCATTTATTGTTGCCGTTCTAGTTGTCCATTTGTTCATCACTCGTTGTAGTAGCCGTCGCTCATACTCTCCACGTCGGTTCTGCGCAGCTGTTACTGTGTGGGATGAAAGACTCGACCAAGCGGCCACGTGTTTATGCACTGCCTTCTGGTGCCGTGTCTTTTTACTCTCGGCTGCGTCTACAACCCAAGGAGAGAAGTACCTGATCCGTAAGATGTGTCGCCGTGCGATAGCCGCACGCTCAAGCTTCTCGTCGGAAAAAACAGCCCAGTGAGAAATGGCTCTGGTCAATTGCAGAAGAACCCAGGCTCTGGAAGCTCTTCTCTTAAGACGATGGTAAGAATCATCAGGACGTATATCATCAAGATTAGCCTGGAGATGGTGGGATCGTGGGACAGGAGGCTTATTGGCTTGCCAATAAGCAGCTCTATTGTGGCTCTCCTCCTCGTGGGGGATGGGATGCTGGGTAGCATAATTCTTATCGGAAATACCAGAAAGATGTTGCCTTGTGTTCGAAGCCTTTGACCAGTCGAAGGTGATGTGAGCAGAAGGCCGTGGAGGGGTCGGTGATCGCATTCGGACGGGAAGGCGTCGAACTTCTTGAACTGCATCACGGCCCAAATCAATGGCAGGGTTGGTGGTTTTGGGTGAGCTTATAGACTTATCGGCTGATGTGGATTCGTTGTGAGAACCATGCTGGATGGCCATTTGCTCTCCTGGCAACTCGAGACTGCGTACTCGAAGCTCAGGCACGACATATCCATGGTTTAGTCTCGTAGGGTCTGTTTCCAGACGCTGCGAAACCAGAGCAGGGTCCGAGCCATGGTCTGGTATAACAGAGATGTTTGAACCTCTGCTACGTATGCTCCTAGCAATATTCTTGTACTGAGTATCGGTGGGATCGTCTGGAGAATTCCAAGCTGCGATATCAGTAGGTCCAGTGTCGCGTACGTCGAGTTGATCGGCGCGAACATGCGACGATGCAGCGGAAGACATGGTGGCACTATCCGAGTCGATTTCGAGCTCAATTCCCATCCGGAGCAGGACATCTCGACAACTGTCCAGCAGGGAACCTACCCCACGTTCTCCTCCTATCCGAAAGACCAGCCGTGAGAGATGATGATCTTCTTCAGGATCGATGCCATAGAGAGGTAACACCTCATCGTATGCGCTGAAAAGAGCATTTGTTGCCAACTGTTCCCCTTCGGGTAAGTTGCTGAGTATTTCCTGCGCCCTGGAGACGACACTGTAAAGGATTTCGATGTCTAGCGAAAGTAGTTAATAAACGGTTGAACCAAAGGTTCGACTTGCTCCGTACCATCGTTGCTATAGTACGCATCCGGAACTTGGGATAACGGTGGACTGGCAATGCCCTCAAAGGGAGCTTGCGCTGAGCGCGGCGACAGCGGTGGCATGTGAATCAGCACCGGAAAATGACATGCTAGTTCGTCAATACATGTAGCTTGTAGAAGGACAGGCAGTGCCGCCACCCTCACAGACACCCTGTCGATTCCGAGGGCAGTTTTGTCATGGAGAAAAGCGCATTTGCGGTCAAGAAAGAAACGGAGTGGTGAGTCTATGAGCTAGGTCGGGGTTTGTAGCTAATGTGAAGCTGGTGCGCGATCGAGCGCCTTGGAAAGAGAGTACATCTCGATGTTGCAGTCGCGAATTCCAGACCCAGGCGCGTCGTGGGCTGTCGCGACGTGCAGAACGCGGCCATCCAATCGTGTTGGGACTTAGCGGGGTCGCATCTACTACCCAGGTAAGGTACCTTGAGTAAGGTACCTAGGTAGGTACCCGATCAGATATCTAAGCTTATTAGCCCACCCCATGCCAACCGTTATTTGCATCACCTCTCAATGCATCACCTCTCAATGCATCACCTCTCAATGGCACGTGCGGCTCAACTACCTTAGGAACCTAGGTAGACCAGTCATTTATTTGTGCGACATCGTCACACGACAATTTGCGCATGAGTGAAGCCTACGTCGCCTTCTTTCTACGATTTGCTTTGAGCCAATCCTTACTTCGACACTGGTTACGTGGAGCAAACACAAACGATGCCTAGTCGGACGAGGCCTATACAGAAGGTTGCTCTGGCAGTCTCCCATTGTAGCGCGGAGGTAAGTGAGGTTAGGAGAAACGCAAGTTTCACAGCAAGTTGATACAGTACTAGATATCTGTATACGGCAAATGTATCGTCTCCGATTACAACGCCGTTCACAAGGATAAGTGCTTGAAAGAATTTATGAAGCTGAAGAATTGTTACCTAGTGAGTGGCTTCCCCGATTCACTTCTTTCGATGGCCACACCTATTTATAGATGTGTATATCTATATATATTCCTTAGAGAAGTATTGACGCTTTCTCAGGTGGCTTCTCGCAATATCAGATGACTGTCGTGTGTTGTAGGGGTACACGATGCGAGACCAGTTGACTGCCAGATTGGTCGTTAGCTCAACTACACACTGAGAAATATATGCTCTACGTGGAATGAATCTGAGCCCCCGACAGACCTCGACTGTTCCCGCGGCGTGCTCCCTATGACGTATCACTGGGTAGATGAGAGCCAAGGCAATTTAGAAGGCGAGAGACACAGATTACGGAGTGTTCAGCAAACGAATATATGTATTAACCGAGGTATTATGCATCCAGCCTGTGATAGAGCGGCCATGGCTGAACATGAAATGCATAACACAAGGGTATAGATGGGCGTGTTCCATCTGACACTATTGTCGTACCTGCCTAATCAGTCGACGAAGACAACACAGGGAACAGCGCATTATAGCCCAACATCGCCACCGCAGCATCGCAACGACCCGGACCGCCACGCACAGCGACAAATCAGCCCTTCAGCATCTCTACCTCGGCGCCGCCCGTATTACAACCTACACTCGAGCACACCTGTTTCTTTGGAAGGACCCTGTCAACACAACACAGCTTCGATATGTCGTTTCTTTTTGGCAGGGCTCGGACGAGGACGGTTGTGGACCTTCCGAAGCAGGCGCGGGAGCATATCATGCGCTTTGACGTACCGAATGCTGGCACAAGGGTGCGGTTAATTCCCATGCTCGTCTCCTCGACCAGGGCTTCAGCTAACACGAAGCTCACAGGGTGAGGAGCTTGCGAAGGTGCTAAGCCAGATGAAGATGATATTACAAGGAACACAAGGTCATGCCGACTCCCGAGCCCACGAAGCCACGCCATAACATTGCAACTAACACGGAAGCAGAAGCTGATAGTAGTCCCGAACAAATCTATCAGCTAGTGACCGGTTTGATCGAAGAGGATTTGCTGTTTCTGCTTGCCGTCAACCTCTGGAGATTGCCATTCGAGTCCCGAAAAGACACACAAGTCATATTTTCTTACGTCTTTCGATTCCGCCCGACCACAGCATCCCCCAAGAGTGACCCAATTGCACTGTCCTACGTCGTGAACCAAAGACCGCAGGTCCTACTCGAGCTATGCAGAGGCTACGACCACAAGGAGAGTGCAACGCCGGCTGGCTCCGTGCTCCGAGAAGTTCTCAAGTCCGAATCTGCCGCCGCCGCCATTCTGTATGATGATGGAGATCAGCCAGGCTCTAGTTCCAAAGGCCTCAGTGTCATTGACAGAGATCGAAAACAGACCGGCACGGGCGTATTTTGGAAGTTCTTTGAATGGGTTGACAAGAGCTCATTCGAGGTCTCGGCCGATGCTTTCACTACATTTCGTGTAAGTCTCAGCGCCGAGTTAGCCCATGTTTGATCGAGACTATGCTTGATTGAACCCAACAATACTGACAAAAGGGTTGATAGGAGCTTCTAACCAGACACAAGGAACTGGTCCCAAGATACCTGTCCGTCAATTTCGACCTTTTCTTTGACAAGTACAATAGCATCCTGGTGCAGTCAAACAGTTACGTCACGAAGCGCCAGTCTATCAAGCTACTTGGTGAGATCCTACTGGATCGGTCCAACTACAGCGTTATGACTGCCTACGTCGACCGCGGCGAACATCTCAAGATCTGTATGAACTTGCTCCGTGATGATCGCAAGATGGTACAATATGAAGGCTTTCACGTCTTCAAAGTCTTCGTGGCCAACCCACACAAATCGATTGCGGTCCAGAAGATCTTGCTTATGAATCGGGAAAAGCTACTGTCGTTTTTATCCCATTTCTTGGAGGACAGAACAGATGATGAGCAATTTATTGATGAGCGAGAGTTCCTGATCAAACAGATTAGGCACATGCCACCCAACCCCATCCCTCCGCAGCGGCATGGTGGTTAAGCATACCATGGTGGTCGGAGGGGAAAATTTACAAGCTTCATCTATTCATCGTTATCGTGATTTACGTCGCGTGCTCTGGTAGTCTGGCGATGCTTCCATCCGTGGACTGGCTGAGTAAACACCCCTGTGCAGTAAACACGAGTTTGGAAATTGAACAATGTGCCAGCGTCCCCCTTGAGACTGCTTCAAGTTATGTTCAAGGCTGCCTGCAAGCAACTTGAGCGAGTGGTCACGCCCGACATGAAGGAACCAAGGAACCAGGGTTGTATCGTTTTATGTGCTGCCAAACGTGTAACCTTTACTGGTACCTGTAATCAAAGCATGATCCGTCTCGTCTGGTGATGGCAGTTGTAGACATAATTTCCCCTTTGCTTCTGTAAATGGTGCTTTGACTGTGCTGCTCAAGGAAGGAGTTTGGTCATGAAATAAGCAGTTCTGTTCTGAAAGTTTGTGTTGTTTAGTTGTTCATATCACGAAACCGTCCCTGTATGGACGTCACAATGTTAGGCCAGTAGGTGCTTCGCGTGTAAATCATACATACTCTTGTCAACGACATTTGGCTAAGAATACAAAAATGGCAAGAAGCTCAGCAGCCATGTCAACGCAGCGATGGAGACCCACTGAACAGCATGCTATTGCATTGCAAGGAGAACGCCCTCCCCTTGTCCCTTTTTTCGGATAATCCATCGTCTTGCGCAGAACCCCATTCAAGCTTGGTCAACGCGACGGCTTAGCCAGCATTATATTGACACTCTCGCGAGCATTCTGCGTTGCCCAAACACTGTCTTTTCCGCCTCGGCGCCATTCTTCGCCTGAGGCATCTTCGCCACCTCCCCTGGTAGCTTCACCCACAATGATCTCCAGGTCGCGCTTCTGGGAGCTGAACCAATCTTGAAGGAAAACAGCAGGGTCGTTACCAAGAGACATGAAGAATGAATGTTTGGCCTTAGAATTAGCCACCGCCCCGACAAGTGTTGTCAGTTGGTCATCTAGCGCAATGATCTCCTTGAGCGCGTTGCCATAAGTAGGACTTGCAACAAATGGAAGCGTAGTATTGCGGAGGGAATCGTCGACGGCGACTTGAACATCGTACACTGTAGGCTGTGGGTTGCGGTGGAATGCCTCATCGACCCGAATGGTATACGGAAGGCTGACTGGGGGTAAAGGTTCGAGAAAGCGGTCGACATATTCTCCCAGATTCGGTATAGCACCAACATCCCCGCGCGTCACAATCTATTCGAAGCACAAAGCTTAGGAGAGAGCCGTATGGAAACCGGGATAGCAACTCACCTTGCGCAGAAGAGCATCACATCGGAAATGGCGCTTCTCTTCATCTTCCTGAAGCCCCGATGCTCTGATATAGTCCCAGACGCCCATGATCGCCTCTTGCCGAGTAGCTTCAACCATATCGATGATCTCCGCTAATTCGGGCCGTACCCGATGTCGCTCCGGGTTTTCCTGGCGCGTCAGTTTGATCGTGATATTCATGTTCTCGTCCCCGTTGCGCTTGAACGTCAGCTCGTCAGCCTCTGTGGATGCTGGAGACTTTGCGTGGTTGGGCTTGGTCGTGTCGAACTTGTTCCAAGTGACCGTTTGATCAGCAGCAGCGCGTGAACGACTGGTTTCGAACTCAACAGTCAAGTGTTTGAAGAAATGGGTGAAGCGTTGAGTGGTTGATTTACTCCCTGAGTTGTCATCACCGCTGTCCGACCCATCAGCTTCGTCAGACGAGTTGTCATAACCATCGTCGAGCAAGCGACCTTCGATTTTGACACGATAAGACGCTTCCACGTTGGGTGTAAAATCGAATGTGTCAACAGCAAGCCCGTTGGTCTGCCACACTTGGTCCTCGACTGTGTTATTGATCCATATGCGAAGGGTCTTGAAGCGCTGCGGAACACATGGTTAGCGAGCAACACCTCACCCATCAGAGTATGGCAGTCATTACCTTTGTGGTGCGGTTGAGACTATCTGCTATGTCCAATCGCTTTCGCATCAAAGTTGCGTCCAGTCGTCGCTCGATGCCACGCAGCTCTCTGTATCGTTGCGCCACGGAATCGCCTGTCGCAAGGCAGTCCTCGATGCCTTCTGGGAGTTCTTTGTCGGTCGGCTTGCGGCTCCGTCTCTTCAGCGCTCTGGCTGCGGTCATCTTTTCGAGATCAAGCGCTTGCGCTGGGATATGGGGTGGGAGCGAGCCCATCGAGGCTCGGTTCATCGGGGCGGACTGTTGGGGGCCTGGGGCCGTTGGACCTGAAGTTTTCATTCAGATGATGTTCACCAGCAACACTTCGATACAGTCACCAGGCGGCTACTTACCCATTCCATTTCGTCTCGGGCCCGGATGAGGAGCGCGCTGTGGGGCTTGCTGGGTACCAGGCACGTATGGCCCAGGCCCAGCTCGGAATTGAGGCTGCATGCTTGAGTAAAGCAGTTGAAGTAGCCTTCCGTAGCGTTCGAATTGGCTGTAGCGCGTTTGGTCTTTGCGGGCTTTGTATTCTTGCGCTGGCGTTGACGACACCTGTGGTTGATTGAATGCGACAACGCGACTTCCCAGGCGTGTTGGTTCGCGAGGCTGGAGTCCCAGATTCCTTCCTATCATTCCCGATGCGTGACGGAACAAGTTAGCGCCAGCGCCACTATTGGCTAAACTTTGCTCAGCCACTCGCCCACTGAGCCACTTGTGATTATTCACCGAACTCTGTTACATGTCGTTGTGCGATAGTGGTTTAGTCTTGACTGCCTGTCAACAGCGAATTGTAAAGGAGCAGGTTTCGGGGCAACAGGCAAACCCCGGACAGGAACAAGCCTACTTTTCAATCCCGGGATCCTGTACCCGAAGGACTTTATTCCCAATGCTAACCACGAATCTCGGCTTACAATGCGGTTCAGGGACATCAACTGCTCTCTACCTAAGTATCGTTTCTAGCATCTCCTCATGTTGAACCGTCACATCAACGGCTCCCAGGCTGTTCAGATATGCCAGGTGAGCTGCCCGACCGATCAAAGAGCAGAATGAGTGTTGCTTCTCGTTACTTATGCAAATATGGTTCAAATCACCCCTTGTCGGTGGATGCGGGAAGGAACATCAATCGCCTTCCTGGATCAAACTCAACGCTGCGCATAATATTTGGTCGGATGTCTATCTTTAGCCACCTTCTCCAGCTGCAACAAATCGATTATTGCCTCCATTCTTCTATCCAGGCCAGCGAGTATAGTACTTGAGTTGACGAAACGCCATGCTCCTGAATGCTGATCAAACTCGATAAAATAAATACCTTATAGGCCCTGCGTGCCTAGGGCTCTCTGTGCCACAAGGCTCTTCTTGTCTCGGGACTCCGATGCTCGAGGACGCAACCAATACGGAACAGCCGACACCAGGTATCATCGGTCTTCCCATCAAGATATCTCAGAACTGCGCACCGAGTCCGCTCTTCGACTGCCGCTTACTGAACCGATTGCGCTTGGGTGTAGGATCCTCCAGGCTCGCTTGGCTCTTACTGAGATGATTTCGTCCCGATCGCTCTGACGTACCCCCGCTGTATCCGTCCCCGTAGGGACCACGCCCGCCGAGGGTGCTAGCTGGACTCGACATCGTTGATGACATGTCTCCAAATCCACTGTCAGCAGCATATGAAGGGGCCGAATTTTGAGACAGCGCGAGCTCCCTCGCTCGCACCAACGCCTCAATCCAGTCGTCCGCTGACAGGCCGCCAAGTTCTGATGATGTACCTGCGGATGACTTTGGGTCTTCGAACGTGTAGTGGGATTTGTCCTGGGTGTCATCGGTCAGTTACAGCCTCTGGTCGTGGAGCGTCAATCTATCGGCCGGAAGCTACTTACCGTATTCACACACCACACCGTCTGCCCTTTAACATCCACCTGGGTTTTCCAGGAGCATTCGGGAGCCAAAAGAGAGATCTCCTGCTTGGCACGTTTGTCTTCGCCGCCAGCCGGTGCAAGAACAATGCGCCCGCTCGAGGTGATCATGACGAGCCTTTGTCGTTTCTTTGTAGTGCTGCCGCCGAAAAACCTGGACAACTTCTTATGACCCTCCCCGTGGTCCCCGCCTTTCCCGTGAGGACTGCTGGGAAGTGGGCTTGAGATGACCATTAAGTCACCGAGCTTCACAATCCGCTCGTTTGTGCGAGTCAGTACTGGCGACCACTCGATATCTAATTGGGTTGGTGGGGGGAGTTCGGTGATGATCCTTGCCGGTCTCGCTGCATTGTTAGATGTTGGAGGACCTGTTGGCAGCGATGCTCTGGCAGTATTTGACGTGTTAGGAGCGGAGCTCGCATGCCCGTTCAGCTGGATTAAAGTTGGCTCCTGGGGTGCAGGATTATAAGGCCGTAGGCGCGGGGCCTGTTGTCTCCAGAGAGACTTGCCGAAGGGATGACCGTCAAAAAATTCATGGTTCTTTATGTGCTCCACGGTCAGTCGTCGAGCTGGGTCGAGAACTAGGCACCTTTCGACTAGGTCCCGGGCCGCTGCCGGAAAACCCGTTGGAAACTCGTACTCGAGGTTGACAATCTTCTGGAATGTCAAATATTCTGTGCCAGCCTTGAACGGTGGCCGGCCAGCCAGGAGCTGGTAAATGATACATCCAAAGGCCCACAAGTCGCTCGCCTTACACGCGTTTTTGCTGGTCAGAAGTTCCGGACTGACGTACTCTGCTGTGCCAACAAAAGATGCTGCACGGCTTTCTCCATCTTGATCTCTAGTACTGCCATCTAGTGGGCCCCCACCTGCAGGCGCAGGACCTTGTAGTTCTCGTGGCGTCTTCAGGAGTTTGGCGGTGCCGAAGTCGGTGATTTTGACGTGCATATTATCGTCGAGCAGTACATTCTCGGGCTTGAGGTCGCGGTGGATAACCCCCCTTGAGTGCATGTAACTGATGGCGTCCAAGATCTGTGCTCCATAGAACCTGGTGCAATCAACGTCGAAAGTGCCTGTTTTCTTGAGCACACCGAGAAGCTCGCCTCCATTGCAGAGATCCAACACATAGTACAAGGAGTTCTCATCTTGAAATGTGTAGTACAGGCGAACGATACCGGGATGCTCTGTCAAGCGGTTCAATGTGTCCTTCTCGATGTTGACATATTTGATTTTCTTCTCTTTGATGATGTGGCGTTTCTCGAGTACCTTGATAGCGTATTCCTTCAAGGTCTGCCGATCCGTGGCCAGGTAAACAGTGCTGTATGACCCTTCGCCAAGGATACGGCCGAAACTGAAGTCGCGTACTCCTTTCTTGACATGTCGGATGACAGTCTTTCCATTTGAGTCGACATCACGCCGCATGCCCACCGCTGCACCGCGATCCTTCCATTCTTCGCTTGAAGACGGCAGTGAGTCTTCAGGGCCATATGGTTCCCGCCGTGATGGGGCGGTAGCGGCTGATGCTGATGCATAGCCTCCTCCCATGCCCTTAGAGCTTCGTCGCGGCGGCAGAGTTCCAGTCGTGGGTGCTTGGGCGCCTTGGCGAGAGCTGTGGCTTGACTCCCGTGAAGGCACAGGGCCAGCTTGTCCAGGGACAGACCGTGAGTCGCTCCTCGTGGGCATACCGTACATTGACGACCGGGACCGCTCGTTCTTCAGCGCCTCATGCTGCGAAAAGACTCGCACATCTTCAGGCAGCGTGCGGCTCATAGAGCCATGGTATTGACCGGATTGGGGCCGGCCTTTCGAAGAGAACGATTGGCCGGCTAGCCGATCAACATCTGGTTGGTATATGGAAGTCGGCTGGCGGTATGCATTGAGTCTCGAAACATCTTCGGTTGATGTTGATTGCTGGGGGGCGCCCGGGTTAACGGCGGCGCCGTATTGATCGTGGGACGGAAGATGGCTCGGTGACGATTGTGATCCAGATCTGGCTGGTGCCTGCTGCTTATCGGATGAGGAGGTCGGAGGAGGGTCGCAAACCGGCAGCGAAGCAGACGCGGCGCCTTCATGAGATGGAACTATGTCGGTGTCGTCCGGGTTGGCTATGCGTAGTCCTCCGAGGGCTTTGGACAAGCTGAGATCCCCGCTCATGGTGCCTAATATGGGAACTCAGGTTAATTTTGAACTGGCGAACTGCGTGGGGACAGTGGCCGCAGCACGACCTAAAAGGATGAAGCCGTCCAAATAGAAGAAGTCGAAAGTCAGGGTCGGCATTGGACACAAGCCGTGATCTCAAGCTGACGTTCGATTGGTGCAAGTGGGTAAAGGCTACAAGCTACCTAACTACCAGAAGACAGAGTGATGTTGGCTGGCAGGGGAAGCTGGGCTGCGCAGGTACCTACGTCGGTACCTACCTCTGGGTACCTTACCTATTCACTCCTATTGCACACCATCCTATGGTCCGTGAGCAGATCGCAAGCCTCTGTAAGCCCCTATCGGATCGGCAATTTCGGGGCGAGATTGAATGACAGAGGTTTGATCAAGCTGACCGAAATAACAAAGAATGCTCAACTTGTGTCTCCTGGGGATGTCCATGGTCGCCCCTCGATCAGATGACGAACATCATTATTGTCTCACTGGCCCGAGGCACCTTTCACATACGGGAGTCAGGTCTCTGTTTAAGGGTGTCGACGACCAAGGAGAAATGTGTGCATGAGATGATTGAGGGATGCAGATTGGCACAGCACCCCTAAACCTATGGGGCTGTAACCTGTGGCGACCAACAACCGCGGATTGGGTTCACAGTCTGACAGTTAAATGAGTATTCAGACACACGCAAGACACGTCAACAGTAACGATTAATATCCACCTTTTCGAGATTTTATTCCGAGCACTGATTATAGTCTCTGCTTTGGCCCACCTCGCAATTGCGAGGTTGTCAGATGTTGAACGAGAAGGTGTCTTGAAATCAGTACGATTGCCGAATGCTTGGTATAGGTAGGCAGATAGAGGAGTGTCAAAGGGCTCGTTGCTTCGTAAAATACCCAGTCGTGGGTGCCTCAACTTCAACTCGATGGGGTTAGCAACTCAGCTGGTGACTCAGTTAAGTTCCCTCATTTGCAGGTTACGAAGTTCGCACTCTGGGAGCAGATGTCTTGCTGTCGCCAAAGGCCGAACCTCGCATAGAAGGTTGCTGCCGCCTGGGTGGGGAGTCGTTCTCGTAACAAGGAAGTACCGCATCCCATGGGAACCATCCGAATTCACGGGCGTAAGAGCTCTCAGTCCGGCCACTAGAAAGTACCCAGTTGAGGAGTCGTCCCGCGCAACTCGCGACGATTAAGCTTCGTTACGACTAAGACATTATACCTGCATTCGAGACTTGGTTCCTGATGGCATGACCATAGCAGTCCAAGGTGAGACTGCAGGGTGCGGAACGTGCCTTGGTTTCGCAAGCTGTAAAGCGAGACGGGGAAGCTGGAGGCAGATATAGCCCTTAAAGCAACCGGCTACAGTGTAAGATGTAATTAGGTTCGCGCTCGAGGGTTAAGATAAAAGCTTCTTCGTTTTCAATTTGAGGCAGTGTGATGACTTACTCGGTCTTGCCCTGCATCGAGGATGCCAGGGGTTGATTACCCTGCTTTCGGCAACGAAAGCGAGGGGAACCTGCAGGCGGATATCACGTGACATGTACATTGGGATAGTGGCTGTACTAGCGCATGGGGTTGGATGCCGGCCTAGCACCTTAGGTAGTCAACAAGGGGCCAGCCATCGCCTGAGCCAGCTTTCTCCGCATCCTGACAAGGCGACGGCAAGTACCCAGCGCATGTACGTGCTGGGACATTCTTCCGGATAGAGCACTAGTTGGGAGCGCAATTGGAAGCACCGAAGCTGGCTCAGTCAGACCTGGGGCATGGGTCCATCTCACCCACCTCTCCTCTCCCTCATTCTGTAGCTATCCGGTTTAGAAACCCTTGTTTACCATCCTCCATCCTCTCCTCTGTTCCTTGTCATCTTGCTCCCTACATTGATGTGAATCGACATCGACGCTGAACCATATCCTCCTACCTCCATTAAGAGCTTCGAACTCGTCTCTTCTGCTACCAGCACTACGTTTTGACGTATATGCGCGAACCTCGACATCTTCTGCAACCTCTCAACATTCCAACAAGTTGCCAACTACCTTAAGAAGTACCATCGCAGCGACCGTCCACACGACCAAAACCCTCGCCTTCGACCCATTACATTCCCACCGCCAACAACGTCACAATCCCTTGCCTTGACATACTTTTACTCCGTATTGTCCATACCAAGCCCGTCCACCGTCACGCCAGGGACGATAGTCGCCAACCCACACCTGGCATTAGTATAACGCACGCTCTTGTACTAACATCTTCATCTCTTGTGATTGAAGAACAGTTTCCGTGTGAGAGCCAGAGAACTCACTGTACAGCCAACTAACACCACAGCAATGGGGTCTTTTGCGCACCCCGTCGCCGCTTCGTCGCCAATCATAGCAATCTCCCAGCACGCGCCACCGCCAACCAAGTTCGCCATGTCCCCTTTTGAACAGGCAGGTGCGCAGGATATCGCCCCCGCGCCTGCCGAGGGTCGCAGGATGGCCGGTCGCAAACGATCCAGAGACGAGGCAGCGCCAAATCTCGCGGAAGAGGCACCCGAACCTGCCCAAGAGGTGGAGGCAGGCTGGGAATATGGCGAGGGCATGGTGCTCATCAAGCCGGTCCAGGGCTACGTTGCCGATGCCAGTAGCCAGTCAGGCACCTGGGTAGAGGAACAGAAGGCACGCGACCAGGCCGCGGCTGCAACCGTCGTTGCTTCCCAGCGTCCAGAAATACGAAGCAACAAGTCACAGCGAATGGACCACCCTGCCGCCTCTTCTCCCGGCACAATTCCAGTCGTCAACGGCAGAGGAGTCATGGCCATGGACAAAGCTTCGGGGCAGCAAATTGACCTCGCTGAGCCTGCGACGACTTCGGCGACCGACAATGCTTCACATCCAGTTGTGGACGACTTTACACTGCACCTCGGCATCGGCTGGCGCAAGATCAGTCAAGACGAGCACATACAAGCAGCAGCTCGAGGATGGTCCCGCTACATCGAGAATCACTACCCATTGTCCGCGGTCACACTTCGATTGGAGAGCCGAGGCCTACAAGCCTATTTGGTGGAGGCAACGGAGGGCTTCTTTCTTTTCGCTGAGGACTTGCGACAGGGCCAACTCGTAAGCACAAGGGCGGACGTGGCGCTACAGAACCTCAAGTGCTCGCCGCCTGTATTTGAGGGCACCGAGGTCCTGACAGCTGCTGAATCCCCCGGCGCTACGGCCCCAAGCGACGCCGCGCCGACCTTCAGGGTCGGGTTGCAGACGGACACGGTGATGAACTGAACACATTAAGACATTGACAGTTGCCAGAGGTCAACCTAATCCAAGGGGAAGAATTGATTGTAGAAAGGTAGTTTCCTCTTGTCAAGATTACGTTTCAATTTGCAGAAAACAAATCGGTTGTGTGTGTGTGTGTGTGTATGTTTGTGCACGACTTAACTGAAAGGGGGAGGGGGTCTGACTTGGGGCGAACTACTTACTAGGAAGAAACGCACTGGCGGTCGGGTCAGGGATTCTGTCTGTTATGTTGCTGTTCATCGGCTGACTGAACTGGGGGCGTTATGGTTGTGGTGTTGTCATGCTTTGTATTTTATCTTGGAGAACTTTCTGGTCCAATCCAAGAAATCAGTAGAGAACGAAAAGAAACCGCGCTTTGAATACATGTTCTGCGCCGTTTCTCCCATCCTCTTTTCTGGACGGTCGATAGCCTGTCGGCATTGCATGACTGCTCAGCGCCCTGACGGTGGTTCCATGTCAGCTTCTGGGAGGGCTGACTGGTGGATGGGTGGTGTTCTGGGGAGTGGCAAATCCGCAGCTGGTGACCCAGTGGTGGGAGGGCCTCTGGCGCCGTCTCATAGGTCCACAGACCGCTGGGCTCCCCAGGAGTCTGGACTGCCCTTGAGTGATAGGTCGTGGTTGTCCGTGACCTTTTGCCTCGTGCCTTGATGTCGCACCTCGTCCTGCCTCGGGACCATGCACAAACCTGCTTCTGCCGCTGATGTAGTTCTTGCGCCTGTCTAGTCGCTGGATCCGATACCAGGCCAGTCTAGGCAGCCTCGTCGAATGGCGATACAAGGGGGGGGGGGGCCTGCTGGGCCTTTTACAATGCCCTACAGTACCTATGAAGCAAAGGGCTCTTGCTCAACCGACTGCTGGGACGCTTGGGTCATGTTCCTGAGCCAAAGCCAAAGCTTCCATTGACATTAACTCTCATCGCGACGCCTAGAAACCTTCGACTCCTTAGGCATCATCGTCTGGCTACTACGCCCTTGCTTCATCTCTACCCATCAAACAGACAGACGCCTTGCCGGCCCCTGGCCTGTCTTCGACCCCGCCCGCCTTGATGGTCTCGCAGCCCGACACGTCCAATTCGCTCACTATTCGAGGCTCGTCCTCAGTTGTCTCCCGCCCGTCATCATCATCCCGCACGAAGCGATACAACCGCTCCCACGTCGGCGGCACTTCATTCATACCTCAAAACGAGTTCCCTGTCTTCACTCAGAGCGGCGACGTTGAGATACTGGTTAGAGTCGCCGACCATCAGAACCGCTACCTCCTACATCGCCACACCCTGACCCGTTGCTCTGGCTTCTTCGAGGCCAGCACAAGTCAAGAGTGGTCCCGCGCCCAGTCCTTGCCGGAACCCTCGTCGTCTTCGTCGTCCTCTGCTACAAGGCCCGGTCGCGGTCGCGACGATCAACTGACGGCAACACGAGCGCCCAGCTCGCCTGCACGCAAGAGATGGCGTTTTGAGCTTGACCCCGGAGTTGGAGATGGTGACATTCCAATGCTTGTCCAGAAACAAGACGTCGCCGCCTCCACTCCCTCTCTCTTTGGCTCCGTCGACGCCGAACTGCCCGTTTCCTCTGGGCGCAGCAGCAGCAGTAAGCCATCCCGCCACGCGCACTCCTCGTCTGCGCATTCCAGCCGCAGCTTCTTCCGCTCCGTCGCCAACCTCAGTCTCGTGCCCGCGCCCCCTGCTGGCCCTGGCCCCCCACTGTCGCAAGCCGACATAGATCTGCTTCGCGACTACGACAATCTTTTCCGCATATTCTACAACTACCATCCGCAGCTCGACGGCGTCAATATTGCCGATGCCTACGTGCAGTGCAAATCCCTGCTTAACCTCGCCGACCAATACGACGCGCTGGCTGTTGTCGGACCCAGAGTCGATCATCACCTGCTCCAGTTTCAGTCAAGACTCTGGAAACAAATAGCCAAATACCCCATTTCCTACCTGAGGCTCGGCTATCTTGCTCGCAGCAGGGTCATCTTTCAGGAAGCGTTGATACATGTTGTCGGCCAGTGGCCTGCTGGAGAAAGAAGTCTGCGCACCGCGCTTCCAGATGGCGTCCTCGACATCATCGAAGACAAGGTCGACGAGCTTGAGGAGATGGTTACCCGTGTTGAGAGCCGCCTTTTCCGCCTGAGCTTGTTTACGGCGCGGGGTGACCGGGTAACACCCAGCACGGCCTACCTCGACTGGCTGGCTCTCAGTCTCTTCCGACAGTGGCTCGCGGAGAACACTGGCTCCTCAGCACCCGACCACCACATTTCGGCATCGCGAAACGACCGGCATAACGAGCTTCAAGTAGGCCCACTTCACCCCCAGGCGCCACCTATGGCCGCAGCAGGACGGGCTCTCCGCATGTTGGGGTCACCCGCCGCTTCTCTTTATCTAAGTCATGACGATTGCAAGCGATTCTTGAAGCTCACACCCGAGTTGTATAGTCGGGATAATCTGCGACGTTTCGAGAAACGAGTTGATGAGGTCAAGTCCATGGCGCGTGAGATTGTGCGCCCCTTAATGAGTAGCCGCCTGGAGCTGGAACTCGGCGGCGGAAGGTCGACAGATGCCATCACTTACCTGACATGTGTCACGGTGAGTGATCGGGATCTTCCATGGCGATACGAGTCATAATAGGGGGACTCGTCTATCTTTGGGGAATCGCAGGCAGTACATGTATGCTACTCGCGAACAGGCGTACGTCAAGGGTGGATGACACATGGCAGCATGTAAACTTTCTCATGTTTTGTAGCTTCTTTATTGCTAAGGATACCCTGTTGCCGTTTGCGAATTGAAACCAAGACAGATCAAGCAGCTGTGCTTCGCGATTCTATTGTTTATCCTGCCTCAATCCTCCGCGGTCAAGTCGATAACCGCTACATGGCTCTGATTCCATATCATCTGCTGGGTGCTCGCTGCCCGCTGGTGTCCGACCCTTTGTTCGGCGTCGTGGACCATGAGTTGCGCAGCCTCATCATCGTCCAAGTCGACCTCTTTAAAGAATCCGCAAGCACTGATCCGTGGTGCGATAAATTTTACCTTGCTTGCGGATCTTGTTGCAGACGATATAGCCTCTAGAGTTTTCCTCACCTCCGAACCGTGGGGCCTGGCTGGTCGCTTGATGATATGACTTCGACCGGCATGTTTGTGGCGCGACGGAGAGGTAGCATCGCGACTGACTACACTGCCTGATGAGGCTGCTTCCGGCTGTGCTGAGCTCTGAGATGCCTCATTTGTGCACTTTGACGTGATTAACGGTCGCATCTTTTTGGGCTCGCTCCGAGAAGCGTCTGTCTCCCGTGTGCTGAGCCTGTTATCTCTCGCCAAAACCCCATTGTGCCGCGCAGTTCCTAAACCTTCGTCCCCAGAAGACTGGGAGTGCCGTCCATCGCGCTGCGGTCCATTATTCATCCCTGCATTCAAGGCATCTTTCCATTTTACGTCCAGACTAGCTGGCCTATCTTTCGAAGCTTCGGGGCTATTTTCGATAAGAAACGACTCTGTGTGCCCGTCAGGCTTGGTTGTCCTAGGCGTATGCTGTGAGCCACTGAACGCCCATGGATTTGATAGCTGCGTGCTTCCTTTGGTGGTCGCTTTCCCGGCAGTCTTGGATGTGAGTGGCTTACTTCGAGGCAGTGACGCCAGCGGGCGGTTCGGCGACGTGTGTGGTTTTGGGGTAGCTGGTTCCCGAGGTAGAAGGCCCCGGAAATTTGTAATATTGGAGGGCAGTGGTTGAGGTAGTTTGAAGTGACTGATGCTCTGTGAAACCGGCAGTACGGCAGCGCTCTTTTCAGAACGCTCTCGAGGCTTGGATTTGGTAGACTTCACCCACTGGTCGAGTGTATTTGGGGCTTTGTTGGTGTCGTTTCCGGCTGTCTTCTTCCTCCTTTGCTTCGCCAGGTTGGATGCGGTCGTCACATTTTTCTTGGCTCGCTGCCTCTCCTCCCAATCCTCAACGCAGAGTGGCACGCCTAACTTGACGAGACTCTCGGGAAGCCAGACTGCTTGTGCGGCAGTCGGGTCGAAGGTTTTCCTAGCCTCGACATCGTTGTTGCTTGGCACTACCACCTCGAACTCGTCATCACTGTTGAGTGCGAGGCCCTGCCTTCCCGTCTCTGCCACCTCGTCTGACTCTTGTGAGAGATCCAATGGCACGATGTCAGCTGGCACGTGGGAGACTCGGAGCTCCGGGATGCCGTCCGTGCTGAAATGGCTCCTCCTGGCTGATATACGCTGAACAAGCACCGTTTCTTGTCGTGCTAAAGATTCCAGACTGTGGCTTTCGAGCGACTGCGTGGTGTGATCGTAACGTGCAAAGAGTTTCTGAGCAAGCAAATTTGGGGACAACACTTTTATCAGTTTGACAGCGCCCGGCCGATTTGTCCAGTCAAAAACCTCATCGGTGAATCGTCTGAGTCCGCCAATGTCGACAGGTCTGGACCACTCGACTGACCCGAACAGGTTCTCCACAGCTGCCTTCGACGAGACTGCTGGGTGGGTGTAAAATCGCAAGACTTTGACATCGGGGAAGTTGTCTGGTATGACAATGGCTTTATGCTTCGTGCGGAAGAACTTGTTTTCGTTGGTGCGTAATTCGTGGGTGAGATTTGCTCTCCAATCATCCATGCCGGCCTTGTCTGCTGCTTTAAGGCTGCACAAGCTTTTGCCGAAACCAGCTCGAGCCACTTCGCAAGCCAGCTTCAACCCGCAGCCGGGCACACCTTCAGGGAGGTAGTCGCCACCACTCATTAGTGCAACCAGAACCATGCCATGACGATCAAGTCCAGAGGCAATCAGGCTCTGCTCGTTGGTGTCATAAACAGTGACATGTGTTGGCGATTTTCCTCCCCGTGATCCCTCGGCTGACCAGTTGCGAAATGTTCGGCTGCAGCCGAACATGATAGTGTCGACGTCTTCGCTGAGAACAGCGTCAACCAAGCCTTCTTGTTGCAGGAGGGCACATTCTGCTTCGGCCTCGCCAGGGGCTTGGTGAATGGGGAAGCCAAAGAGGCGAATAAGACGTTTGGCCATGGCTGAAGCAATGCCATCTCCACGTCCAGAGCGCTTATTTCTCTTGAAAATAGGCTTATTGGGACCATCAAATACGAACACTGGTTGCACAGGAAGCCCAACAAGTCGGACCAGCCGGTAAAAGAGTGTTCTAATAGCGGGATTTGTGCCCCCTAGGAATAACGTTATCACAAGAAGCATGAGAAAAGAGGGCTTTCAAGTTATACCCTTAGCAGCCTGCGTTTGAAATTGCCATATAGCAATGTCTATGGCGACGCGGAGAGGCCTCCCTGTGTTCTCCAGGCTCTCGGTAGCGAGCTTGGCGAGTGAGATCCTCTGACCGGGGCCAAGTTCGCGGTATATCCTGAATGTATGTCAACTTTTTCTGTGTCAGGAACTAATTCCATCGGTGAGGCATACCCCTTGATACCCATCTGATGCGTATGTCGCTGTGAATCGCTGGACAAGCAAACCACGTTGGCCAAGCACAGATGAGCCCTGATGCCGCAATTGGGTGGTTCTAAGAGCCTTAGGAGCTGAGATCAGAATTTCACACGCTACATATCAGAAAGCATATTCGTGATCGTGAATAAGGGCAGGCAAGGCACGTGAGGGTAAAGACAAGGTCGCGATGCCGTTCGATGACGCTCCCTGATATCGTTACCGTGGTAACATGAACCCATCATGGTACTGTTGCCGATCAGGCAAGGTTCTGTTCTGTGACCCAGGAGTACTTTCATCCCAAATGTGGAGTCCTCATTTGATGCATTTGTTCTGTCGTTATCGCCCCGGTAAGACTCCTTACCGATGCTGGATCTGACCAATTACCTTCGTTTGGACTTCTGGAAGTCTCCTTTTGTACCTTAACAACAATCAATCCACTTTGTTCAATTCCGTGGTGACAGTTATGAGCCCGGGCGACGATACAGCTCCTTGACCTTCGATATCTACAGCAGGGCGCCTACGGCCAATACGCCTGCTGCGAAGCTGTCTACAGCTGAATCGCCGCTGCACTTCAACAGTCAATTGACGCGACGTTTCGCCATTGACGACCACTGGCCAAGGGCCGTTACCGACATCCTCCAGGAGAGCGATCATCTCTCCACGACACATCGAAGCAGGAGAAATCAGCTCCTCAAGACCAATTGAACCTCCGAGACGTGTGGCCTAGGGCTTGAGTACACGCGGGGTCAATTGATGATATTCAACATACACGCGATCAGTCGCGACCATCGAACGACCTCCCCGACGGTCTCCGACAACGCCCAGGGATCCTCAAGATGGACTCTGGTAAGCACAGAGTGACACTTACAAGGAGGGAGGAATGGAGGACATGGCTCAACTCCGTCAGAGCCGTGGCGACCTCCTACGAGGCCTGGGATCTAGTCGACCCAGACAAAGAGGCTGACAGGCGGCCCAAGAGGGCCAAGAAGCCAACAGCACCGTCATTCGAAGATGAGACGCGAGATCTCAGCACACTGCTGACGTTGTACAAGATCCATTTGGACATCTACAACAGGGAGTCAGCGGGCCTCCAGGAGGTCCAGAAATACATCCTCAACACAGTCGACAGGAGCCTTTCGGCCGTCTTCATGAACGAGGAAAGCAGCCAGGAGTGGCTCAAGGCGTTGAAGGACCACTTCGCCCCTTCCGACATGGGACAGAAACAATACATTCGCCAGCGCTGGGAGGAGCATATGGCGATGATCAAGAAGATGGACCATGAGAAGTGGGTTGACGACTTCATCCTACTCTGTATCGAAGTTGAGAAGCACGGGATTCCTCAGCTTAAAGAAGCCGCAGATCAAAATGTTCAATTCCTTCGGGCAATTCTTTCCGTGTCTCCAGGGTGGGCCGAAGCAGAGTGCGCCCACCAAGTTCGCCGGGAGCTGGATGATCGTGATGGAGGGAAGGTACTGGCGTTGAGGTACAAGAGCTACCTTAGAGACTACCAACCGCATCGCCTCACCACCAAGCCATCTCAGACGTCCTTCTACAGCGACTCGGTGACCTTCATGGGCAAGGACCGGAATGGTCAAAGTGATCGGACGAGTGCCCAGGATTCCCATCGTGACTCTCCTCAACAGCCAAACAGCTCGCCTTCTCGCAGACCATTCTGCGACTGTGTACAGCAGAAGAGGGCACCCAAGGCGTGTCAGCCCATCTGTCTGTGCCCAAATATCGCGGAACACCGGAGGAAGAAGAGCTATCAATCCGATCAGAGCCTGCTGGACTACATTGACGAAGCGAAGAAAAGGATGAAGCCAAGCACATTGCAATTCTGGAACGAGAAAATCAAGGAGGACAAAAAGAAGCGGCAGGAGGCAAGAGGCACCCAGTGGAGTCGCCGTCTCTGCTTTTAACAACTTCCTCGGTGACGATGATGAACAGAGCTGCGATGACGAGTACACCAACTTCATGAGCAACTTCTCCGTCGCTGATTCGGACGAGTTTCAACGGACAAACCGAGGAGGGGATCTCCGTCACGAGTTCCTGATCGACTCGGGTACACCCAACCCATATAACCAACAACAAAGACCTCCTCACCAACTTTCGCGAGGCCACCGACACTGTAAGATACAGCACAGGAGGAGGCAAATCAAGCCCCGTCGAAGGGCATGGCACGATGGCCATCGACACCCTCGACAGCAAGCAGAACGTCATCAGCATCACCTGCCATGATGTCTCGTACATCAAAGACTACCCGACGACGCTTATTTCAGCCAGGCAGCTCCAACGCCAAGGACTCGGACTGGACTCCCTCAGGAACATGCTGTTCAACCCAGCCACTGGCTCAGAGATCCCACTTCAGGAGAAGGGTGGCCAGTATGCGGTGAACACCCTACATAGCACCACTTCCTTCTATCACTCCAAGAAGCAGAGAGCCGCGATGGTCAGCGACTCGAGGCTCTGGCACGAACGGCTGGCTCATGCCCACCCAGAGGCCATACAGCAGCTGCCATACAGCTGTACTGGAGTTGGGGTGAAAGGGCCAACAACATTCGAATGCGAGTCTTGCGGGGTAGCGAAATCCAAGAAGATTGTATCTCGGAGACAGCCAACGTACACGACGACGAATCCATTTGAGCGCGTCAACCTGGACTTCTTCAGCCCTGGGAAGTCGTACAACGGCATGGAGTCGTGCCTTGTAATAACGGACGCATATTCGGGGAAGATTGTTGTCAGGATTCTGCCTGCCAGAGCAGATGGCTTCCAGGCGTTTATCAACTTTGAGATGTTTCTCTGGAGACAGTACCATCTGGTCATCAAGGTCCTGAGAGTTGACTGGGACTCAGCACTACGCAGCAATCTGGTTACTTGGTCAGAAGAGCGCGGCATTCTCTTGGAGAGATCAGCCGCAAGGACACCAGAACAGAACGGTGCCGCAGAACGCAATGGAGGCACGATATTCACCATCGCAAGAACCCTTACCTCGGCTGCTGGGTTCCCGGAGGATTTGTGGCCAGAGGTGGTACAAACCGCTGCATATCTCCACAATCTCACGCCGAAGGGACGCCTACAGTGGGCGACACCAGAAGGAAGGCTGAACGACTGGCTCAACTCCAAGGGCCTTGCCGCTCGAACTACGGCTCCAGGCCTGGCTCACCTGCGAAGATACGGATGCAGGGCGTATCCTCTCACGGCAGACGCCCAAGAGGGACGTAACCGAAAGCAGAAGCTGGCTCCGAGAGCCCACATCGGCTATCTCTGTGGATACGACAGCAGCAACATATACAGAATCTGGGTTCCAGAGATGAAAGCAGTATTGAGGACAAGAGACGTGGGTTTCGATGAGTCCACAGTTTTCAAGGACGCCCAATCCCCAAAGCCAATTCTACAGGACGAATTCCAGGCTTTGGACGTGCCCGTTGCGGACGCCCAGAATCCTTTCAACTCGTCACTGGACATTGACGAGTTCGATGTTGCCACCATCGACCTGTTCGAGAAAGCCCGGACATTCCAACTTGGAGGAAAGATCAACGCGGAGATACTGCGACCCCGGGAAGGTCACACAGCCAGCAGAGATGATGTCCTGCCGTCACCACGTCCAACTCCAGAGACGGAGACTGGACAAGGCCAGCCAGCTGTCTCTGAGGGGGTGGAAGATGCCGTAATAGACACCATTCAAGGGGCTGAAGATGCTGTGGAAGACACGATCCCCGTGCCAGACACCATTCAAGTGACTGAAGAGGCTATTGAAGACACTATCGAAGTAGCTCGGAGCCCTGAATCAACACCTCAACACACACCAGCTGATCAAAGTTCAGCTGAAGACGAGACAGAGACTGTGGAGGCCCGACCATCAGTGGCACCAGCCCCACAGCCGTCGCCATCAACACAAATCCAAGGCACTCGAAGGAGCGCTAGAGACAGAAAGCCGTCACAGTTCAAAGACGGCACCCCCACCGACCAGGCTCTAGGAGCCCGCCGCAGCAAGAAAATGCCTCCATCATCACATTTGACCGTGGAATACTCATTCTTTCACACTCAGACTCCATCGAACAAGAAACCGCTTCTCCGAACAGATATGCCCGCGGAGCCAAGATCCTGGAAGGAGATGCTTCATTCTGATCACAAAAAGCAGTGGCTAGAAGCAAGCGTCCAGGAGGTCAACACCATTGAAAATATGGACACAATCGAGCAAGTCCCCTTCGAATCGGTCGACCAGGAAATACACAAGGTTCTCGGGTTGACCTGGGTCTGGAAATACAAGGTTGACTCCACCGGCTACGTGACCAAGTTCAAGGCCAGGCTCTGCGTACGAGGAGACCAACAGCCCAAGAATGAGATGGAAACATACGCGTCGACACTGGCAGCCAAGACGTTCAGAACGTTGATGGCCATCTGTGCAGAGTTTGACCTAGACACGCACCAGTTGGATGCCGTCAACGCCTTTCCAAATGCACACCTCGACGAGACAGTCTACGTCTGGGCCCCTCAGGGCTGGGATCTCATGCAGGAGATGCAACAGAAGAAGGGCGCTCCACAGAGGCGCACGATTTTCAAGCTGAAGAGAGCTTTGTACGGTTTGCGCCGATCACCGCTTCTCTGGCACAAGCTGCTGTCCGAGGCTATGCGGAAGATCGGCCTCGTGGCTCTCGAGGAAGATAACTGTGTCTTCATGGGCAGAGGCATGATCATGTTCTTCTACGTTGACGACATCATCCTCATGAACCGCAAAGAGGATCGCCAAGCGGCCGAAGAGCTGAAGAGCCAGCTCAAGTCTCTGTTCGAGATGCGAGAACTTGGCGAGGTCAGATGGTTCTTAGGCATCAGAGTGGTCAGAGATCGTAGCCAGCGCAAGCTCTGGCTGTCTCTGGAGAACTACATCACTGAAAAGATGAAGGACCTCAACCTCCAGCCATCCACCAGAGGTCATTTGACGCCTCTATCAACAGACCCAGCACCTGCTCCAAAGGATTACGAAGCCTCTGCTGAATCCATTCAACTATACCAACGCAAAATTGGTTCCATCAATTACGCAGCAACCACAACACGACCTGATGTGGCCAAAGCTGCCTCAAGACTTGCGGAGTCTCTGCTCAGGCCGACAGAACTCCATCACCTTGCAGCAGACCACTGTCTCCGCTACCTCTATCGCACAAGGACTCTCTCGCTGTCCTACGGAGGATCAGGAGACCATTCTACATCGCTGTATTGTGCGAGCGACGCATCATTCGGCGATGATCCCATCACCAGATTTAGCTCACAAGGATACACCACCATGCTCTTTGGAGGTCCAATTGACTGGAAAGCTACAAAGCAGCGATCCGTGGTCACTTCTAGCACCGAAGCTGAGCTGGTGGCCCTCAGTGTCGCAGCGAGGAACTACCTTGCCACTCTTCGTCTGATCAAGGAGCTTCAGCTACGTTTTCATGGCAAGGTTCCGATCCAGATGTTCTGTGATAACCGCCAAACGCTGCTGTTACTCACTAGTGAGAGGCCTCAAGCCACTACGAAGCTCAAGCATGTTGACATCCATCGTCTTTGGATCCGACAAACAGTCAGACAGGGGAAGATATCCGTGGACTGGATGAGCACTGACAAGATAGTGAGCGATGGGCTTACAAAGATTCTCCCGACTCAGAAGCATCAGAACTTCGTGAAGCTTCTGCAGATGGAGTGCGTACCAGCGGTCCACCAGTGAACAGCTTGCTCAATTTCGCCCACCTCTCCTAACACTTACACACATCCTTATTTGCTTCACAAGCACGATTTCCTTCATCTGCCCTGAGAACGCCAACTGTTCCAAAGGCACCAAATTCTCTACCAAAAGCCGCCAACAGGCATCTGCCTGATCTTTCGTGGTTCAGATGGTCAGAGAGAGGCTCGCCTACCCATCTGAGGGGGTGTGTTGCCGATCAGGCAAGGTTCTGTTCTGTGACCCAGGAGTACTTTCATCCCAAATGTGGAGTCCTCATTTGATGCATTTGTTCTGTCGTTATCGCCCCGGTAAGACTCCTTACCGATGCTGGATCTGACCAATTACCTTCGTTTGGACTTCTGGAAGTCTCCTTTTGTACCTTAACAACAATCAATCCACTTTGTTCAATTCCGTGGTGACAGGTACCTATGTCGATTAGAAGAATATCACTGCATTGGCTATCCACAGCCGGAGCTGTTTAGCTCCGAGCACCGACATTCGAGCTTTCGACTTTCCGCACCTTAGTCTCCACCACCCCTCAACAGTTGACCCAAACCACCATGTCGACCTCAGCACAATCGGCGACACCTGGTCTTGCGCACCGCTCCATATCCAATATACGCTCTGGTGCTGGTCCGCAAGCTGGCCCGGCCAGCCCACACACTCCGCTTCGTGGCACTACGTCTGCCTTTGGGTCGCCTTCCACACTCCGCGCTGAAGAGGAGACAATCGTGGTCGAGATAGGGACGCGTTTCGTCCGCATTGGGTTCGCAGGAGACTCGGTCCCTAAAGCCATAGTCTCTTCAGGTCCGGTACAACAACGCCGTGTTGGTGATTTTACATCATGGCTTCCACGGTCATCAACAGCGCCGTCGTCCGTGCCTCCGAATACAGAACTTCCATCTATTGAATGGGGCCATCTTCACGAACTATGGACGTCCGACCTACGGTGCTTAGACCTGGGTCTCGTGGGAGACAAACTGGACCGCCTCTTGCGTGATGCATTTACGAAGTAGGTAGATCCTCACCATTGACACAATCGTCGAGTCGACCCAGTGTTTAACGCGGCTATAGAAACCTCCTAATTGATTCCCGACCCCGCCGTGTCTTCCTCGTTCTACCTCCAGCGCTGCCTTTGCCGTTAGTTTCAACCATTCTCGATACCCTATTCCATCGCTTTCAAACACCACTGGTGTCAATTTTGTCGTGTCCTATCACCGCTGCTGTTGGCGCTGGAGTACGGTCCGCAATTGTTGTGAATTTGGGCTGGGCCGAGACGGTTGTATCGAGTGTCTACGAATACCGAGAGATCCGCCACACGAGGAGCACAAGGAGCGGCAAGATGCTTGTACACGAAGTGCATGATCTTTTAGCCTCGGCGCGCAAGAAAACCGCGACGCCGCCGACGCAGCTTGAAACCTCGGATGCAGATGGAGTTCGGCCCGCAAATCGTGTCTTCAGTTTCGACGAGTGCGAAGATATTGCCTGTCGCATGATGTGGTGTCAGCAGCTTGACCGCGCCGCGGTTCCTGAGGATGAGCCAGGACTGGCAACTGTGGAAGAACGGGACGAATCCACCTCTTTGGCCCAAGACGAATCCAGACAGCACCAGACGGTCAGAAATGTGCATCTAGGCATGTCGTCTTGTTCGCCCCCTGAAATCATCGAGCTTCCATTCCAACGCCTATCAGAGCCTTGCGAGAATACATTCGTGGCCCCTCAGTACACGCCAAGCAGCTTTGATGACGACGAATTGCCCATTCCCTTGCTTATCTATCGCCACTTGTTATCGCTGCCTATCGATGCGCGCGCGGTCAGTATGTCGCGCATCATATTCACAGGCGGGTGCTCCAACATTCCCGGTCTTTGCAAGCGACTGTCAGATGAACTGTCTCGTCTGATAGGCTTATGGGGCTGGGATCCAGTTCACGGCGATGGTGCACAACAAGTTAAGGCTAGAGCGAAGCGTAGTAAAAGCCAGAGCCGCGCGCATTCACAAGCAATGGCGATGGGAGAAGACGGGCAAAAGGATGACGTCTGGCATGACGCTGCCAACGCAGCCCCGGAACATGACAGCGTACAACAGCTCCTGCAGCGAACTGAAAACCCTCTCGAGAACTTACAGGGCAGCGTTCGAGTGCTGGAAACGTTGGGACCCTGGGCTGGGGCCAGTATGATCGCCCACCTCAAGGCGATGGCGGTCGCAAGCATTGACCGTGAAGCGTGGCTGCAGCAAGGTGTAGCTGGGGCCGCTCGCCCTGGGGAGGTTGACGTGAAAGCACAGCAACGGCAGAGCCTTGGACCTGGGCTCATGCGCGGTGCCTCAGTGGGAGGCTCGGCAAGTTGGACTCTGGGAGCTTGGGGAGCTGTGTAGATGCGGTAGCAAAATAAACACCACTAGTTGAGAACCCCCATTACTGATTAACCTCCTTATCCTGCTTATCGAGATATCCCTTTCTGTAACATGGACATGGGCTTCTCGATCAAGTCAGTTCATGCATGTTACGAACTTACGATCACTCATGCAATAGTAGTCTACATTTCCACGCCGTGTATCCAGGGTCCTGCCCAGGTACCTTACCTACAACAACGACAATGCTTTCATTTGCGCGAGTGGGATGCGCTCCTGCCGGACTGGGGAGGACGAGAGGAGTCCCCTATGGCAAATTCCGTCGCTCATTCGCAGACATGAAACGGCCATCAATAGCGCCCAAGCCAACGCTTGACATCAAACACATACGAGAGAATGCAGACCTCCACGCAGAAAACTGTCGCAACAGGAACTACGGAGCTCACAGTGAAAATCCGGCCCGCATCGCAGCAATATTCAAGCAATGGCAGGATCATCAGCGCTCATCACGTTCATTAAGGGAGCGATCCAACCAAGTTCGACGGTGCATCGCGAACCCCACGGTTCGCGATGCTGAAGGCACTGCTGAAGATATCTGCTCGCTCACAAAGGACCAACTGCTCGAAGAGGCGCGCAGATTGAAGAAGGAGCTTTCCGGCGTTGAAAAGCTAGAGGCACGGCTGGTCGAGGAGATGCAGACGCTTGCCTCGACCGTTCCGAACCTCTCAAGCCACGAGTCTCCTGTTGGCGAAGAGCCAACTCTCCTCAGCCAGATCAACGAGCAGCACCTCAAGAAGGCTTCCTCATCGGACCGAGTTTGGCGCTCCCACGTCCACATTGGTACAGAGCTGGGCATTCTCGACTTTGCCAGCGCCGGCAGCACGTCAGGCTGGGGGTTTTACTACCTCCTGGACGAAGCCGCCCAGCTCGAACAGGCCCTCGTGCAGTACGCGCTGGCAGTAGCCGTCCGCCACGGCTGGCGCCAGGTCGCCCCCCCTTCCATGGTGTACAGCCACATCGCCAATGCATGCGGTTACCAGCCTCGCGACCATAATGATGAGCAGCAGATCTATTCCATCGCACGCCCGGCTGAGGATGTCGAACGCGACAAGCCTGAGCTTGTGCTCGCGGGCACGTCCGAGATTCCTCTCGCAGGGATGAAAGCCAATTCGACCTTGAGCGAGTCTGACCTTCCCGCCAAGCGTGTTGCCGTCTCGCGATGCTACCGCGCCGAGGCGGGTGCCCGTGGCGCGAGCACCAAAGGCTTGTACAGAGTGCACGAGTTCACCAAGGTGGAGCTATTTGCCTGGACACCACCTAACCTCGACGACACAACTGAAACTTTCGACGAGATGCTGGACATGCAGACGGAGCTGCTGGAATCTCTCGGCCTCAGCTGCCGCGTCCTGGAGATGCCCACGACTGAACTCGGCGCTTCCGCGTTTCGAAAAATTGACATCGAGGCCTTCTTCCCCTCGCGCCAGGAGCAGCAGGGTGGTTGGGGTGAGGTGACGTCTGCTAGCATCTGTACAGACTACCAGACGAGGAGGTTAGCCACCCGTGCACGGATAGACGGCCAGTTGGCGTTCCCTTGGACTGTCAACGGAACGGCTCTTGCAGTGCCAAGGGTGCTGGCCGCACTTTTGGAGAACGGGTGGAACGAAGAACAAAAGACGGTTCATATTCCCGAATGTTTGAGGCCGTGGATGGACGGCAAGACCGTCATCACGTCGCACCGCAGCGGATGAAGAAGGAGAGTCACTTGTAAATCTCCAACCTGGCCATAGTGCTCCACTCAAAATGTAATAATAGGACGATTGTCATTATTGTCGTTACCGCTACAAATATTGATCAAAAACGTGGGTGCAGGAAGACCAATCACCCCGATATCCGTTATCCCCTGCTCCACGAGAACTCAAACTTATTTCAATGTCTGCCTCGCCCACCCCTGAAAACGGCCTCGAGCTCGTTGCGACGACATCTGAACTTGCCCCAGTGCATCATGCCCCGAGCCCGTCCTCGTACAACATGACTTCGTTGCCTCCAGCAGCTCCCGCATCAAGGTCGGTCCCGACAGCACTCTCCGTCCATTGGCTTTGCAGATCATCATCTGAATAATCCAGTCTTGTGCTGTTGTCGTCCTCCCCGACCATGCTGTCCGTCACGCTCTCGGTGAAAATGGTTGTGCCCTGACTAGTCCGCCGGAGAGTCTCCGTCTCACTGGCATCATCGCCAGCAGCAGACTGACCAACGGACCGCCGCGAGTCACTTGGTGTGTCAAAGGAAGGCAGATCAGAGTCTTCATCCACCTCCCGCACCGAGATGTTTTCCTTATTCTGGGCACCGCGGTCTTTGTCGAACCCACCACCCCAGCTGCTCTTGCGGAGGGAACGACCTGCCGCGGCTGGGGTCCGTACGCTTTGGCTTCGAGCAACACCTCCACTTTGCACATTGTTGTTGATCTGGCTGAGAGACAAAATGCGGCGGCCCGGGCTGTTCACTCCCGGAGGCGCCAGGTTGCGCTTTGCAGAAAGAGCAAGATTGACAGCAGGAGAAGCGCGCGGTTGCTGCGTTGTTTCCGCCGGCGCACGTGACGATGTCTTGGGCACCTTGACACGCTTGCGGTTCATCATCTCCTGACCTTTCGCAGCCTTGGACATAAGAAGAACGCGAGAGTGGTCCATGACGCCCTCGAGAATCCTGCGCTCCAACCCCTCGGCTCGATTCTCCATCTCGTGCAGCTCTTCGCGACGGATGCGCAATGCCATCTCGAGCGACGAGACATCGGCTGTCAACCTCGTCTTCTGCTTGTTCATTGCATCCTGTTCCATTCGAAGACTTTTGATCGAGTCCTTCAGGAGATCTTCCTCCTGTCGAAGGGACGCAAGATTCTTGTCAACCTGTTCCTTGTGGACGAGCTGCCGCTCCAGAGCAAGAGTCGTCTCTTGCAAGGACTTTTCTTTGGCATCGTTGGCCTCGGCGACTTCTTTCGCCTGGTTTGCGAGGAATGACGAGATCTCGGCAGCTGTAGCCATGACTTGTTGATGAACCTGCTCTAGCGTCTGCAGCTGTGAAAAAGCCTTGTCCGCTTCCTCGGTGTGGTTGACCAATCGGTCCAGCTTCTCTTGCATGACAGCATCATCATACTTCTCGGTGCTCTCAACGAGCTTGTCGAGCTTCTCGTGCACAGCTGTGTCATCGTATTTCTCCGTGCTGGACACAAGCCGGTCAAGCTTCTCGTGCACGACTGTGTCGTCGTACTTCTCGATGGGAGGCAAGAGGGGTGGCCCGGGCTCTGCTTTTGCGACTTCGAGCCTGCTGTGAAGGTCGGTTGCCGATGACTTAGAGTGCTCATAGTGCTGGTCGACAATGACCAGGACATCCTTGACAGCCTGGAGAATCTGGGGCTGGAAGTCGCCAACTTGCCCTTGCAATGCACCAACAGAGGCGATGGCCTGTGTTATTTGATCCCGAGTCTGTTGGTGCTCGGTCTTGTCGTTGGAGTCGTTTTCTTCCGTCTTATTGGCGAGCTCCTCCACTTTGCTGAAGACTGTTCTCGAGGCCTCTTCCATCTTTTCAAGAGAGTCAGTGACAGCGGAACCAAGGGTGTCGACAAGGGTCTTCAGCTCTTCAGCGACGTTCTTTGTGCTCAGCAATGCTGCGTCGGTTTCTGCGTCACGAGCCTCTCCTGCCTTGGCCCGCTCGTCGGATGAGGTCTGGAACTCGTCATACTTGAGCATGAGCTCGGCGATCTTCTCATCGATCTTAGTGCCCAGCTTCTCGGTGATCTCGCTGAACTTCTCGTCGGTATCGAGTTTGGCACCGACGACGCCTGCCCTAGATTCCTCAAACTCGGCTTTCATGATATCAGAGAGCTCTTTCAGTTCCTGACCGACGCCGGCATTAAGTTCGACCGTTTCCGAGACGCCCTCGAGCAGTTTCCCTAAGGCTTCGATGCCAGTGGCTCCATCCTCCAGCTTGCCCTTGGCCAAGGTTTGGAATTCCTCCAGTAGAGTCTTGACGTCGGAGACTCGCTCGCCTACCCCTACGATCTCGGCTTGTCGCTCTTCAAGCGCTGCTGTGTGCAGGGCACCGCTCGACTCAACGCGGGTTTTCAGATCTTCGAGGGTGGTGCTGATGGTCTGTATGTCTTCGCCCGAAGCGAGGGCAGCCATGTCCGTTTTGATCATCTGCTCAAAAACAGTCTTGATGTCCAGACACGCAGCTCCGACAGCATCAACGTCACTCTTGGTGACTCTCTCTGGGTCGGCCAGCCCCTTTGTGGCCTGTTCCTTCGTCTCCTCGAGCCCGTTGGCAATTTGTGCAACCAAAGCCTCGAGTGTCAGCATATCGTCCTTGCTTGGCAGTCCTTCGATCCGTGCTGCGGCATTGCTGACTGCCTCGCGGGTATCAACCACCAAGGCCTCAACACTATCCAGATGTTCTTTCCGGATAGCCTGCTCGCCGTCCATGAGATCGTCGAGCTTGGCCTTTGTATTACGCAGGATTGTCTCGATTGCTTCCACGTCCTCCCTGGATGCACTGTCGGTGCTCGCAGGTTTGGCGGGCGCTTCTCTTGCCTGAGCAATTCCCGAGACTGACTCCTGAACACCGCGAAGCATGTCTTCGAGGCGAGAGAAGTCCTCCCCTGCGCTCGTCTCCCGTGGCGGTTTCGCGAAGGTTTCCACATTCATCGCCTCCACCTTGATGCGAAGCTGCGTGATAAGGACCTCGAGGTTCTTGATATCGTCGTGTCGCAGCGCATCAGCGGGAGCGGCAGGCACGACAGCGTTGTCGTTCATGGAGGTGACAGCCTTATCTTCTTGCGTATGCTGACGCAGCGCGTCGATATCTGACCGGACACCATCCAGGCCTGCTTTCAGAGCATCTAGGATCTCATCGTTGGCCGTGAGATCCACCGGTCGGTCGCCGACCTTATCAATGCTGGAGCGTAGGTCTGCCAAGCCTTCGTGGAGAGCATCCAGGATCTCGGCATGGCCAGCGAAAGGGCGATGCATCTCGGCTCGCACGCTGTCGAGGCCGATTTTGACTGCTTCGAGGACTTCTGCATTGTTGTTCTGAGGACTGACCGGGACCATGGATGAGTGAACTGTGTCGCGTAGCGAGTCCATGTGGGACTCCATCATGAGTCTGGAGTCCTCTGTGGCCTTTTGGACCAGGGAAGCCATTTCGTCTCGTAGACCGTCCAATGCCTCAGCCAGAGTTTCCATGAGCTCTTCTTGTTCCACGCTCGTGCCACGCTCGAGGTTTATATGGCTCATCAATTCTTCCATGTCGTTGCGGAGCCTCTCAAGGCCGTCCTTGGTCGCGTCGAGCACCTGCTCTGTGTCCCGCCCATTGGCGGCAACATTCTGTTTGGCTTCTTCAGAGACTGCGCTGAACTCCTGGCGTAGATAGTCCATCAACTGTTGAAGGCGCGAACTGATGTCGTTGTCGTCGCGTGGTGGTGCAAGGAGCGAGGTGGGTTGAGGAAAATCGAACCCTCGCAAACCCTCCTGGACTGCGTGAACCATGTCGTCACGAGAGAGCTCTGCGTTCATGGCTGATGGTGCGACAGGGAATTCGAATTCCTCCAAGCATTCTCGTACGGCGTCAAGAATCTCAACGCGTGATAGTGCCGTTGCAGAATCCATTCTTGGTGGCACGAAATGCTTCAGACCTTCAACCACGGCCTGGAAGACCTCATCTCTAGTGGCGCCAGGATTCCTGTCGTCTTGCGCCACGTAGTCCTGAAGTCCTTCTTTGAGGTATTCAAGGACATCTTCCCTACCGAATGACAGTTCCTCGGCTTCAACCTGCGGCTTGTAATCTTCCCAAGCTAGCCTGACAGCCTCAACAACGTCTTCTCGGCTGAGGTCTGGAGTTTCCGGCCCGGCGGCCTTCGCGTCACGGAGAGCAGCTCGCATGGCGTTGTAGATTTCCTGGTAGTCGATCGTATTGGCACGAGACGTGGCTGATGCAGTGGACGATCGTCGGTGTTCCCGGACCAGTTCACTGATCTGTTCCTTCATCTGATCGAGACCCTCGTCGACGATCTTAGCAATCTCTTCCTTGCTGGCAGCTTCATCGGTGGCACTGCCCGTGTCCTTGACCTCATCGAGTCTGCGGCCGATTTCGCGGCCCATGCCGAGGACTTCACCTCGAAGCTCGCGGACGAGAGCCTTGACCTCGGCCGTGAGACCACCGCTTTGAGCAATACTGTCCTTGACACCGCGGATGACCTTGACAAAGTCGTCACTCAGGGGTTCACTGGCTTTGACGGTCAGGGCAGAGGAGTTATGCCGGTTGTCATCGCGGGCAAGAGCTGCCATTCTATGCGCTACCGGGCCGGGCGAGTTGTCATCGAACCCGCCCTCCAGATTGACAGACCTCTTGTCGGCGTAGTTTGGATTGCGGTTTGGGGAGATATTGTCCTGCCCACGCACAATAGCGTGTTGTGAACTCTTCTTGGCGAGGTTGAGTAGTTCTTCAACCTTTGCTGCCGGGGCCACACCAGCTAGCCTATCAGCAACCTCGGACAGACGACTCAAGAGCAAGTCCTGCCCTTCTTTGGTGCCCATATCCCGCATGACCTTTTCAAGGATGGCGACTGAGCTGGATGCATCCTGAGAGCACAACGATGGTGTGCTGACGGAATCGCGGTCCAAGGAGGCTGAGAAGGTGGTGGGGGACGGGATCCTGGGGAGGGAGAAGGGCCTGGCAGGCTTCGATACCGAGCCGTAGTGTGGTTTGTTGTCGAGATATAACCCTGAACCGTAAGGGTCACGCGAGAGCGGTCGGGAATTGACCTCGTTGAGATTGGTGATCATTTCGCGGATGCTTTTACGGATATCTTCGTCTCGGGCCGTCGTGGCTTCTTTGAGACTAGAGAGATCGGTCGCATTGTCCCGGCTGCGACGGCTCAGTTGCGCCATGTCCCTCTGAAGCGCAGTCGCTATGTTGGTAAGGCTCAAGATCTGATTGGAAAGCCCATCAAAGTTCAGCGGAGCACGCACGAGGGCCGTCGATGTGGGTGCCGGATTGGCATTCTGGAGAGGTGATTCGGCCTCCTTCGGGGCCGGGGCCGGAGAGGGCACGTGTTGAAGGGCCAGCATGGTTGCGGACTGTGGCGGCGTGTTGTCTCCGAGGATGCTTTGGTGTGTTCTGCGGGCCGTCGGACGGACGATCGGCGTCAAGCTCGGCCCCGGCGTTGGAGAGGTGACGATGGCGTGGTTCTCCTTGTCGGACAGGACCGACTCGGAGAAGCTGTGTGGTGCCCTGGAAGGGGTTGATGGGCGCAAGTTCTTCTCGGCAGGTTTCGTGGGAGAGGAAGGCGCAGGCTGGGGCCCGTTTTCGAGCAAGAGGCTGATGTCGCGGACGGTGCCGGTGTGAAGCGATTGCATCCGTCGGTGTTGAGGACCTCTGACAAGAGACTTGTCTGGGGAGCTATCGTTTGTGCGCTTGGTCAAAGGGCTGGGCATGCCGCTGCTCTCGCGGGCCCTTTCGGCGAGTGTAGCGTGAGCAGACTGTATTGCGCTCGAAGTGCCCTTTCGTGGCGAGATGCTAGGCGATTGAGGATTGAGTGGAAGTGGCGGAGGCGCGCGTTCGGGATCAGAGCTATCCCACCTTTGGCGGATTAGCTTGGACCAAGTCATTCTGCCGAAACACACGAAAACATGGTGTTTAGTAAGAAACTCTGACGAGCTTGCACGTACATGGGAATGAGTGCTCGACCATGATCAGAAGATGCCGAGTGCTGATGCCTGAGATGGCCTTCTCCCTCCCAAGAGTGGTCACGGTCCATGAGCGGCATTCCGGCAGCGGTCCTGATTGAGTTGGAATGTTGAGGGTCTCTGGAGAGGATGTCGCGGATGGTTGGAATGTTTCCTCTTGATGGGGTTTTTTTCCCAATCAAAAGAAGGGTAGTGCGTTGATACGCAAGCTCCTGGCTTGTCGTCTTTGTCAGACCTCGAGTAGTTCAAAGCGCAATATAATCAGGCGAGAGAGGAATAGTAACAAGGGCGGCTGTGTTCGGCCTGGCGACCAGCTTGGTGTTGTCGATTGTATACCAACATGGAAAGCTCGGACGAGATGGACTTGGAGGTTCGTTTATTGATATGCGAGCTAGTCGTAGAGGGGATCCCTACCTGGTTGGATAGCTGGCACCCCCTGCCTTGCTCTGTCAATGGGTTGGTGACGCGCCCAAGGCCCTTGTGTTGCTGCCATGTTGCTACAGCAACGCCTGAGTTGGGGGTCAAGCTGGCACGTCACTTGCCTACGTGAACCCGATAAGGCCCCAGACTGGGTCGGGACCACCAAAGCTGAGCTACCACCCATGGAGCTCACTAGAGTTACCTCAGATTGCCGTCGGTACCTTATCCGCCTGGCCAAGTCTCGTGGATCAAAACAGTTTGGCCTCGACTGTGCATGTACCGAAGCCAGGCCCATACGTAGGTAGATAGCTGGCTCTGTCTCTATTGGCTCAGTCATGTCACAGCTGTCAACGTTCCCTTCGACGCCGCCAGCAATCATGGCATAGGGCTTCAATACAGAAGACTGTCCAGCTGCTGAACACTCCCGTGTGATTCCCAAGATCTTCAATTAAAATTTCATTTCTGTTATACATCGAGGTGCGCCATGCAATGAAGCATGCACTCTATCAAAGCGTTCCGGGTCGCGCCCATCAGCATGACCACCATCTGTAGCCAACGTCATCGGTCATGGCAAAGTCAATCATGGACCGCAGTTCCAAAACCGCCTCGATCGATGCGCTGGCGGGTCGTCCTAACCACCGACACCGGTAGATCATTTAGGCAGCATGCCATCGAAGGCAGGAATCAGCGTCTGAGCCAGCCAGAACGAGAAGACGAGCTTCGGGCCGGTCATCAACAACTAGAGGTGAATTGTTATTAGCCACAGCTCGTTGGACCAGCGTAAGGCGCGGCGCGTCCGTGCTTGTACAACGTACCTTGGGAACGAGGCCCTTGAAGAAACTGGACAGGCCTTCGTTCTTGGCCATCTTGCTGAGAATCTTGAATCCACCCTCGGGGTTGTCGAAGTTGCGGTTTTGAATCCTCGTCTTGATGACATCCAGCGGCGCAGAAACGACCAGGGAAGCAGAGGCACCGGCAATAGACGCCACAAAGTTCTGGAACCACGAGGCCTTGTTGTAATCCTCAAGGTGGAAGATGAATTCCTTGGCGAAAGCGGAACCTCCGAAAAGCTGCGCAACATCTTGTCAGTGTCCGTAGTACAAGCCATCGAAAGAGAACCGCATACCGCAAAAGATCCGGGAGCGTTACGCGCTGCGGTCCAGCCCCAGCCCCTGTACAGCCCGAAGCCCTCGTCGGCGACAATCTTGAACACACCCCTTCCGCGGAAAGCCTCGGGGTTCGTCTGCCTCTTGATCTTAAGAACATCCAGCGGCAGAAGAACAATCTCACCGATACCAATCAGGCTGTCGAGCCCAGTTAGCCTAGGTCGTTATCACCAGACCGCAAAACACGGAATAATCTCACCTGCCTGCCGTTGAGTGCATCACGGCCTTGCCCGTCTTCTTGCCAAAGGCTTGCTCAAAATCACGACCATAGTGGGTGTCCAGGTAATCGCGCGCGATAGGCTGGCCGCCGTACTTGTATATCCTCTGGAGGACCTTGTAGCCAGCAGCATAGCCCAGGCCGGGGAACAAGGAGAAAAACTTGCGGCCAGCTGCCGCGTTCGCAGTGTCCTTGAAGACAACCTTGTTCAACTCGGTGGCATTCGTTATCTGCTTCGTTGTCAGAGCGCGGAGAAACGCAACAGGTGGCTATGTGAATCGCACCTTGGTCTGGTTGCTCATGAGACGCTTCGCAATGGTGTCGACCTAGGTGCACTTGGTGTCAGAAGGTATGGGTCGTGGTGTTGCGTTCGATCATGTTCTCACTGGATGGAAGACGGCCAGCTCGGCAATACCAGCGGACCCTGTAGTTTGTACGTATCAGTGGCCGTAGGTAAATGGCCGATGGGTGTTGCCACGTTACCGGATCCAAGGAGCCTGGCCAGGTTCGACTCCTTCTGACGACCCGAGACTGATGGTGGAGACATATTTCGTGATGTTCGAGGGTTTAGGGGTGTATCGGTGGATTTGTTCGATGTTTGCGTACAATCCGCGGGTCACCAGAATCTTGATTCAAAATCTGGGACTGAATGCCGGGTCGTGGTAGTTGTGTCGAGCTGTGGTGTTGCGGAAAAGGGGAGGATGCTAGATCGCGCGCTGCTCAACAGTCATGTAGCTCTACACCAGGAAATTTTTGTCTGGCTGTCCGGCGTCGGACATGGCTTCCAGAGCTATGGGCAGCGTGGGACCTGTTAGGGGTGGTCCCCGTCGTATAAGGTTGGTATCAGCTAGCGGACTTGTTGCCCTGGCTTATCGCACGCACTCATTGGCCAGCATTCAGTACGTTCGGGTCCTGTCGGCATAGTATGGTGCCATCCTGGCGTACCAAGCGTATCTACCTCCACTGCCTTGTCTTTTGCCTTGGTAGAGTTGCGATGCAGCAATGTTTGCCTAGGCAAGACCCAGTCCTGCTCCATCGTCTGTACGCGGCTCCCACTGCGGAGGAAGATTACCTCGGGACACTGCCGCCTTTTATATGTCCGGCCACATCTGCAAGCCCGGGAGTAGCCGTTCTACTTGCATCGGCAGCGCTTGGCAGAGGTGTCTTCTCTCTGGCAGGAGACAGTGCAATGATTCCCCTATAGTGTCGCTGAAATCAGAAACCGGATGAAGAATCGCATGTGATGGGTATACAAGGCCTAGTCATTACGTCTACATATGGGGCTTCGATCATGTAGATATCCAGTAGGTTCGCTAACTCTACAACGACTCGTTGCGTCGTGAACAAACAACATCAAACACAGAGCCTCGGCATTGGGGCATCAATTGGATCAAGCCTATTATTCTACAGCCTACATACACTGGGAGGATCATGTACCGAGGCATTGGCCTGGCAGCTGGCGGAACGGTTTGCCCTTGCTGAAACAAAGACATATGTGCCGCACAACAGGCGTGAAGCATCGTCTGAAGAAATTGAAACGAAAAAGCTGGAAGAAGGCGCTTCAAGGGAATGTAGAGAAAAACTAGATCCAAGCTGGACTACTGCCACCATTATCACAATTACCACCCCTACTCGCTATTTACGACTCGGTCCCCTCATCGCTGTCACGACTGGCTCGCGAGGTGGTTGGCAGCCTGGAAATTGATGTCTCGTTAGTCCCCAATACAATTAATAGGTGATCGGTGCTCGGCTTACTCTTTCCAAGTTGTAGTCGTACTTCTCGAGGGCCAGGAGTGCGTCGGATCGAGAGTATCCCATGTTGGTCAGGTTCTTGAGAATCGGGTCATCATCTTTGCCATCCTCGGTCAAGCCCCTGGTGGGCAAAGGCCTCGACTCCGGTTCGGCAACGGGTGCTGCGGCCGGGGCCGCGACTGGGGTCGCGACTGAGGCCGGAGCATTCAAAGGAGCGGCGGTACCTATGGCGGAGCCGTTGGGGGAGTCTAGAGTCGCGAAGATGGAGTCCCAATCATGGGCATCGGCCGAGCTCTTGTCGGGCCCAGCTGTACCAGCACCTGCGCCAGCAGGAGCAGCTGACGTGGTGGACGCGCTGCCAAAGTCGTAGCTGCTCTCCTGCCCAAATGGAGCCGTCGCAGGCTCGCTCTTTGTCTGGCTTTGAGGGGGGCTGCTGTCGAAGACGGGATTGAAGTCGTCCAAACCGGATCTCGAGATTGTTTGGAAGTCATCGTCAGCTGAACCCTCTTTGGCGTCTTCGAGACCGTCAAAATCGTCGTCTAGATCATCAAAGACCCCTTTGGCTTGGGGCGCTTGGTCGAATGGTTGGCTCAGTGCGTTTGCACCGCTTGTAGCTGGCGGTGCGAACGGGTTGTCGTTCTGGGGTGTGGCCGGGCTTGTCGACTCATGCTGGAGCGAACTAGTGGGTGCTGTAAATTCACTGTGCATGTCAGCAGGCATGTCCGACCCTTGGTGCCACATTGCACGGTTGAAGCATAGAGGCGACAAACCTGTTGGTCTTTGCTGCAGTTAGACTCGAACCCGTCACAGTAGCACTGGGCACCGGCACCTGAGTCGCCGCTGATCCATCGCCGAAAGGTGCAACAGCAGGAGCCTCGTTCTGCTTCTTGGGAGGCGAAGCAGGCGCGAAATCGTCATCAAATCCACCACCCTCGCTGGCCGTATCAGAGTCGTCGTCTCTCTCCAGCTCGGAGATGGGGGGGAACTCGGAGTCAAATGCCCCAGCTGGCTTGATGGGCTCGTTACTGGACTTTTCAGGGGCCTTGTGAGCCTTGGTGAAGCTTGCAAAGGCGTTGTCAAAATCCGACTTTGCCTTGTCTTCATCCGTGGCAGCAAAAGGATCACCCCCTCCACCACCCGTCGTCGCGCCAACAGCGCCGATTGCAGCTGATGGGCCGTCATTTCCGCTGACCTTGCTTTCGCTAGCTGAACCCGCCTCGCGAAGAGTCTCGGAGCCCTCACCAGTGGGAGCCGGTTCGTCTGGGAACGCACCTGGGGGTCCCTGTGTGGGTGTTGCGACAACAGACTCGAAGGGCTCGCCAGCTCGGGAGGCTGGTGGGGACACGGCGCGAGACGAGGAAAGCGATTCAGATGCGTCCGAAAAAGGCAGGAAGCTTGAACTGATCTGACGGGACTCGGGTGGCGCAGGGGGCTCGGCGGTCAAGGTCTGCTGGCGACTCATGGTAGGGGACGCAGCAGGAGGTGTGGCCCAAGAGCTGACACTGCCAGTAGATGTTCCGGTGGTTTGCGGCTTGAAAGACGTGATGGGAGGGGGCGGGGTGTCAGTCGACCGGGTGGGAGGCTGCGAAGGGCCAAATATGTCGTCAAACGATTGATCGGCGGGAGAAGACTTGATCGCTGGAGAGGCAAAGGCTCCCATGATGTCGGTACTTCCGGTTCGCTTGAAGAACGGGTTGTTCGCGCTGGCTACAGACGCTGCCGGACTGGCCACAGATGCAGAGCCGGGAAGCGATGAGCCAGTATCTTGCCTGGAGAGGGCCTCACTCTGGCTCTTGGCGAGATCGGCTGCCTCAGACTGTAGCCTTTCTCGCTCGGCTTCGTTCGTCGAGAGTTGCTTCTTGTTGATGGCAACCAGGCCCTTTTGCTGCCTCGCCTCTGACTTGAGCTTCTCGATTTGAGGCTTGAGCTGGGCGACTTCAGCGTTGACCGCTCTGATCTTCTCCTTCAGTCCGGTATTTTCGTGTCGGTCAGCCTCGAGACTGCTCAGCACCTGCTGGTGCTGCGTCTGCAGATCTCGGTACGTCGTGTCGAGCTGCATGCATTCTGCCTGGAGCTTCTGAGTCTCCTTGCGTGCATCGCTGAGCTGCTGTTGCAGAGCCTGCACATCGCCAGCCTCCTTCTCGTAAAGCGTGCGCAGCTGTGCAAGGCGCTGCTCAAAGTTCTTCTTCTGTGCGCTGGCTTGGTTGAACTCGTTCTGTGAGGCATTTCGCTGCCCTTGAACCTCTTGCATCTGCTTTGACAGAGATCCTACCTGGTTGGATAGATTGGCCAGCTCGGCAGTCTCACTTGTGAGCTTCTTGCTGATCTCGGGGTCGTTATCGCCCAGGAGATCATCCGACGCTCCGCCAACCGCTCTGTTGGATCCAACACCAGAGCCAGCCGAGTCTCCAGTGCCATGAACAGTCAGGCCTCGCCCAAAAGAGGATGAAGGGACAAAGGGCTTAAACTGAGTGTTCGCCGGCGACGAGGGCTTTGCGGGGGATGATGGGGTCTGTATGTTGGCGCCCGCAGCGAATGGATCAACGGCGTTTGAACCGCCCGTGTTTTGCGCCACCTGGGCTTGTACAGCTGGCGTAGGGGTCGCATCCAGACCAAACAAGTCATCCAGAGCTGACTTGGGCGCCGCGACGGGAGGCTGAACTTGTGGCGGAGGTGCGGGAGCGTCAAAGGGAGAGCCCGTCGTAGCTGCGGGGCGAGTCCGCTGTCGCATGCTCGGTGGGACAAGGTTGGGGGGTAGCGTTGGTGGCAATGCTGAAGAGCCATCACGTCTGGTGCGCTGTTGGCGAATAAGATACATGGCCACAGCGAAAGTGTCACGGTTCAGGACGCCTTCCGAATTACAGTCGGCCAGGTCCCAAATCTGCGCCAGGGCATCTTCAGGAAGGCTAGACTGGCTAAGGAAAGGCACTGCCTCTTCTCCCGTGATGTATCCCTTGCGAGTCTTGTCGAGGTCGTCGTAGAGCTGATCAAAGCGCGCTTTGTCGGCTGGCGTGACAAGCCAGTCTGGCCCAGACACCGTTGACGATTGCGCTGTGATGGGCGGACGCCCGAGAGGGCTGCCTGTGCGTATGGGTGCCGAGCCGCTCAGCTGTCGAGGGATGGCCGAGATGTGACCCGTAGCCGTCGGCGACTGACGTGGAGCGGCCAAACGTCTTGTGGCTGCCTCGTAGAGCGGTGCTGGCAGGATACTGGGAAGACCACGGAGCGCGCCCGATTTCATCGAGGTGAGTAGGTGCATAGCAATGACGAACTCGGTCTGCACAAGAGCACCTCGTTGCTCAGTGTCGGCCAATTGCCAGATCCGTCCCAGCACCTCGATTGGCAGACCAGCCTTCTCGAAGATGGACTTGGCCTGATCGCCCGGGAGCAGGCCCCCGGGCTGCAAGGCCTGCCGCTCGAACAACCCGGCATATTGATTGACCTTCTCGGGGGTCAATGCCGGAATTCGAACAGGCCCGCCAGTGCCCTGGGCCTGTAGCGCCGCTGGTGGCGGTGGGGGAGGCGACGAAAGGCCGGGGAGCTGGAAGCCGTCGAAATGGGGCAACGGCCCGGGTTGGGAAGCCAGCTCAGTCGTCGGTTCGCGGCCTGCTTGGGCATGACCGATCAAGCGCAGAACAGCGCTGAAGCCCGCCGGGGTCAGGAAGCCCCTGTTCTCACTGTCGGCTATCTGCCATATCTGTTGCGCAAACAGTAGTTAGCATCTTCTGCCCAAACCGCACCCACATGTTTCTATGTTTCGCCGGGGCGGGGGGGAGCAACTCACCTCTCCTAGGACTTTGGAGTCCAGCCGTGTCTTGTCAAAGAATTTGACAGCAACTTCACCAGTAACCACGCCAACACCGTCGGTATCGGCTTGCCTAAACAACTGACCAAAAACACGCTTCTCCTCGGGAGTGAGATTCAAGTTCGACCCGGCTGCGAGGACGTGCAACATTAGAAGACAGATTCAATCACTGAC